TAGGCACATATTCTACCACTGAGCCATATTCCCCATCCTCTCTTTTCCTTTAAAATAGCCATGATAATGTTTCACCATGTTTTCCCAGCAATTGCTATAAAGAAACCCAATGTCATTATTGTTCACCTTCCTTGGTTTAGTTCTCACTGAAAGCCTTCCTGTCTTTTTATTCTCATCACTCTGATGGTATCTTACAGCATTGCAGTTTGGCATTATTCCTCTGTCCTGTCCTCAGTGTGACCTCTCAAATTTGGAGACTAGCACATTTCAATTCTGTTTTATTTTTTATGTATATGGATGTTACAGGTCCTTGGTGTCTTAACCTACTTAGTTTAGTTTTTTTATTAATATAACTCTGCTTTCAAATGTTTTTCCCATTTTCATTTCATTGTCTTCGTCTGTTTGGAGACAGGCTAGCCTTGAGTTTGTGCCATCCTCCTGCTCTGCCTCCTGAGTGTTAGAATGATAGCTTTACAGGATTGCAGCCACCATGCCACCCTCCCTGTACCCTACTTCCTAGGAGGTGGCCTCACCTTTAACTTTTGAACCTTGTATTGAAACTTTATTTCTCCAATCACATGTTAAAGTTCCAAAGCCTTTCCTTACGTGCCAATGTCTCTTTTATTGCAGCTCGCTGGTCAAGGATTCGCTTCCAGGAAGACGAATCCACTTTTCCACTGTGACAGGCAAGGAGGGCAGACGAGGGGAAAGGCACAGTGCAGATGAGGTGGCTGGGAGGCGCAACTTTTGTTTCCTGGGACACAGATGGTGAGGCCATGGAGATGATGAAAGGGGTAATGGCATAGGAGGCTTGAGGAACATGCAAAGGAAAGCTGGGGCCAAGCTCCTTAAGGCCCAGCTGCCCCTTGGATAGCCATGGGAGTTCATTTCACAGAAGCCTGAGGCCATCAGTCCACCTTGACACCAATCTGTCTGTCCAGTCTGGACGTTCCTGCTCCTGAGGAGGAAGTTGGGCTCTTGGACAGTTCCATGGTTGCTATTCCTCCTAGTCAAGTGGTTTGGAAGGGCAATGGGGCAAAGGAATTAAAGGTTTTGAAGAGATGGGTACAATGAGCGCATGTCGTTGCTAGCTTGTTCCTACCTGCTCGCACACTCTGGTAACTCCAGCTTGACATTTCTTCACAGAGCGCTTCATGCTAATTTTAAAACTAGAGGGTCCATTGAATTCTCTGGCCTTGGTTATTTATGTGAAATGTCATGATTTCAGGTCTTGGGGGTTCTTATTGTTTACATTTTGAACTAGAAAACTATGTATGCACATGCTTCTTTGTATGTGGATGGGCACACATATCATGAGTGAGTGCATTGCACACATGTAGTCAAAGAAAAAAAAAAAAACTGTGTTGTCCTGAGGTCTCAAGCCCTTCTCCAGATGCAGCTGATTACACTGTTAAGACAAGCAAGTGTATAATCATTAAAGTTTTCCCAGGCAGGGTTTTTCTGTGCAACAGCTCTGGCTGTCCCGGAACTCTCTTTGTAGACCAGGCTGGCCTTGATCTCACAGAGATCCGCCTGCCCCTGCCTCCCGAGTACTGGGGTTAAAGGCGCGTGACACCACTGTGTCTCTTTCTTTTCTTCTTAGCAATAGCATCTCTTGTATCTCAGGCTAGCCTTAAACTCACCATGTAGCAAAATGGCCTTCAGCTTCTCATCTTCCTGTCTCCAGGTCCTCAGTCCTGGAATTGCAGCAGTACACCCACAGGAATACACCACAGTTCGTGTGGTGTCGGGGCTCAATCTCCGGCTTCCTGTGTGCTGGGCGAGCACTCTACTAAACTGCCCTGCCCTCTAACATCAAACCCTGTAGCTCCATATCTGGCATCTGGAGCTCTTGGTGGAATCATCTTGGCTCTTAAAGCCTTCTGCACTCTTTAGTTCTGCTGCCTGCAACACAGATAACCTCTCTCTTAGCTAAGTTCTACTTCATACCTGCAGCTTTCCTTGGTGGACATCCCATAAGGAAAGATACCCTGGTATCTCAAAAACCCATGTGTCTTCATTGTAATCTGGGGTCCACCCTTGTCGATTCACAGAATGTCGATCAGGCCATACGGCACATTGCCCAGCCTCAGCAGCTTTCTGGAACCTTGGAGCAGGCTCCCGTGACCCCATCTCACTTACATCCCATGCTTGCAGTAACAGTGCCATATGGGTGATGCTGCCAAGTTTCCCAGTCAGCCTGAGATACCGTCTGGCCCACTTTTACCACAGCCTCTGTGCTCTTTGGTGGCTGACTGTGAGAACACTTTCCTAGGCATGTGTTTCTAAGCAGGGAGTCCCTTCCATGGTGTTCTCAATTTGGCTTTCTCCTTTCAATACATTCTTATTTTTATAAGCCGGATCCTTTAAACTATAAAATTCAGATTCTCTAGGAAAGTGGTTCTTAACCTTCTTAATGCTGTGATCCTTCAATACAGTTCCTCATATTGTGGTGACCCCCCCCAACCATAAAATTATTTTCCTTGCTACTTCATAAGTATAATTTTGATACCACTCTGAATTGCTGTGTTTTCTGATGATCTTAGGCAACCCCTCTGAAAGGGTTTTTTGAATTCCCAAAGGGGTTGCGACCCTCAGGTTGAGAACCACTGCTCTAGGATCTCTACCTAGCAGCAGAAGGAAGGAATTGGTCTCCTCAGACATGGCAGCACTGACGTTCACTTGTGTGTTCTGGGCATTTCACCACAAAAAGAGAAACAGACTCTGGCTGCAGACTGTTCCAAAGATGTGAATTTATTTAATGTTGTTACAATACACACACAAATCATACTGTATTTTCTTGGTAATGTTTCCTCCGTCAAGAGTCACTTTAGTTTAAACCAGAGGATTTTCTTTAAGAATATTTAAGAATACACACACACACACACACACACACACACACACACACACACACACACACACAGAGAGAGAGAGTGAGAGAGAGAGAGCAAGAACAAAAATGTAACCCCATCATAGTGCGTGTGAATGAAGGTGGAAACAGGCTTCATTTTCAAACTCTAAAATCATTCTCTCTGCCTTAGGAATTAAACAGAAAGTTCGTCCCTGTCCGAGGCCAGGGCCGAGCAGACGCTGGACAGCCCTGCTGGGGACGAAGTGCAAGTGGTTCGTGCTGCTAGAGACCAGGGTACAGGGTGCCAGAGACAGCCTCCCCCTCCTCCTGTGCTCCCAGGTCAAGGTACAATGGTCTCATCTGGGGCCCAGTGGGTGGCAGAATGGTCAGAAGGCAGATTTCTTTTGACTTTTCTATGATTTGATTTCTTTCAGAGTCTGATATGAGCGCAGAATAGCTGAGGCCTCAAGAGCTGGAAGGCCTGGAGTCCTCTTCTCCAGCCAGTTTGTCCATCTGGTCTTTTCCACCAGCAACTGTTACTGGCAGAGCTCCTGTCCCTCTCCTTGGGAGCTGTGTGGCCTCACAACACAGCTGCTCAGACAGACCAGTCAGCGAGGGACAGGTAGACTAACGACAAGAAGGTGGCAGTTTCCACAGCAACCTGGACAGCTGAGATAGCAGAGACTGGCTCCTCTTTACTCCCAGCAAGGGGACAGTGATGTCATCTGTTAACCTAACCTTCCCTCCCCCTTGGCCGGTCTTGCCCAGTAAGGTTGTGCTCAGAGTTACCCTTGAGGGCTGAAAGGGAAAGGCAATCTGAGGCCTTTTCAAAGCTAGCAGGGTGTCAAAATGGCTGTCCCCCGGAAGCTGTCTGGCCTAAGGACAGGAGATGTCATTACTGAGGAAATAATAAAGCTTCATAGCTTAACAATAGCCCTTAATATTCCTAACACCGCACCTCACACTGGCACCTGACAGGATCTGTTGGTTGACTAACATGGACACACACACACACACACACACACACACACACACACCTTGCTCTTCAGCCTGCAGGCCACCTCAGCTCCAGATGAAGCTTGGCACTAACTTCCACTTATGGGTGGGGTGGCTTCTGCTGGGCTCTGGTGCTCCCCACATAGGCTGGGGGCCAGTTTGGCAGTAGTTAAGTGGAAACTGAACCTCCACTTGGACAGAAAAGGCCAAGTCCCAGAGCCCCAGCTGGCAGTGACAGACAGCTGGAGTGGCAAGAAGGGCAAAAGAGACCCGAGAGTTCAAAGACCGGAGAGGGAACTTTCCAACTCTGCACTCTGACCTTTGTTAGACTCAAGAGCAAAATGAGAAATGTTTAAGGGACACAGTGAATGTGATGTCACAGGGGTTGTGTGCTAAACTGTGCTACACCCTCCCGGCAGGAGCCTCTCACTCATGTGTAATATCTTGGCTGAGAGCCACAGATACAAATAGGATGCTGCCGCCACCATGCTGTCTGGAGCTACCCTTTAGGCCAAAGACTCCAATGTGTCTGACATCCTAGCCTGCACCGCTTACCAGTCCAGCCTGCATCTTCCCCATACCCAGCAGACTGCATCTGCTGGTGTGTAGGCAGAATCAGGGAATGGGCTCCATTTATTTTATTTAACACAGGCTCTAACCATCTGCTCACTCTGCTGGAACAAAGCCCTGGAACTGGCCACTCCAATGCCCAGTGGTCCTCAACCGAACACATTTAGGAAGGGGCCTTGGCTCTGGATCTCTACCTAGAGGCAAAAGGGGAAACTCCTGTGTTTCTGAGACTTACACATCCACAGGAGAAGAGCCATGGGCGTGGCTGGACCGGGCAGGCGAGGAAGGGTACACAGCTAACAGTGAAAAGGAAGGAGGCACCTTTTATGTGTAAATATGTACGCCAAAGTCACGGTCACTTCTTAGTAGGAGGAGAGGGGTCAAGGAAAAAGCACAGAGATGCCAAAAAGGACACAGGTCTGAGTAGAGGATGCCTACTTGACCCAGCTCCTCCCAACTCCTAAGACAGTCACCAAGGTAGTTGAAGATGCGGGCTGCCTTAGCTGGGATACCTGCAGGCTAGGCTTCAGTTTAGTCATACCCTCAGGGGGCCAAACTGGAGACAAACGGACTCCAGGACTGAGGACCTAGACTCCCTTGCCCAGGCTCCTCTGCTCCCATCCACCTTCTGGAAAGGGCCAGCCCTAGTCAGACCATGAGGACAAGGGTGCAGAAAAGGAGCACCATCAGAGGAGGGATGGGAGGAGGGCCCACCTGGCCAGTCACTTAAAGGTGTCATCAGTGTTTTTGAACATGAGAATGGCGTTATAGATCTTCAAGGCTGGGCCCAGCTTGACATTCATGATCTTCACAATGTCCGCCTGTGTCAGCAAAAGGAAGGCCTCGCCGTCAATCATCTGAGGGGAGGGAGAGGAAGGAGGGAACCGGAGGAGGGAAGGGGGGAGAGGTGAAAGGAAGGTAGGGGCAGATATATGAGTGGGTGTGGGGAGGGGGTGTATGGAGCACGTGGCAGGCAGCAAAGGAAGGGAGCAAAGAGAAAGGACAAGCGAGGGAAGAAGGAGAAAAGGAAGACAGTGTGGGATGGAGAAGGAAAGCTAGACAGCCTGGTTCCTCGCGTTATACACAGTTTCTCTTTATGCTGATGGTCTGTGTCAGCATCTATCCTGGGAAACCCTCTCTGGAGCTCTTACAGGCAGTAGCTTGGAGAAGCCAGCTGTTGGTATACAGTTATGGGGCTTCGTACTTAATAAACATGTAGAGATCCTTGTTTGAAAGTTATTAAGAATTAGTGACAGCTGAGCACAAAGCCAGGCAAGGCAGGCTCGTGGTCTGAGAAGTTTCATTCATTAGTCATCCTTCAAAAATGCCACCCGGACTCATTTTGTTACCTGGGTAACAGCCTCCATATCTACGCGCGTGGGCTAGCATTTGTGAAATGCCTGAAGTCAAATCAAAACAAACGAAGACAGGAGAAACCCCATAACAGCCCCAGTGGGAACCCACTAGTCAGCCTCACTCAGTGCTACTAATAGCAAGCTGGACAGACACTGCATTTCAAGGGCTACAGCATGGGGTGCACTGTTACCTCTGACCCATTCCTGCCCCCAAATCAGAGAGGCAGAGAACACTCGGATCTAACTAAGCCTTTGGATCTGATTTCTAGTTTTAAATGTTTTCTATTCCGAACATTGATTTTGTGTATGTATGGGCATGGGTGTGAATATGTGTGCATCCCTACATGCATGTGGGGGCCAGAGGACAATTTCTAGGAATCAGCTCTCTCCTTCCATCATGTGAATCCCGGGGATCGAACTCAGGTCTTTAGGCTTGGTGTCAAGCGCTTCCACTCGCTTAGCTAACTTTCTGGTCCTCACTTCTAGACTTTTAAAAAACATCACAAGAAAAAATAAAATGGAAAAAAAAAGAAGAAAAAAAAGGGGGGGTTACTATTCTGGAGTTGAAGACATTTAAGGGCTATATAACACCTGAAATAATTTATGTGGGCCTTACTTGGCTCAAGAGTTATCTTTAAAAATGCTCTGAGGTAACAGGAAATGTGGATATGGGCAGGAGCTACCAGTGATTGCTGGTGCAATAACATTGTATAAAAGTCACGAGTCATGGTACTCAGGGGTGACTCATGATGATGCCTGTAATTTACCTCAAACTACCTCATCCCAAAGCAGACAAAGCCAGTGTGTGAAAGGCTCATAAGTGCGCACTCTAGTCGGGGAGGTGGAAACTGAGACCAGCATCCAGACCAGATGAGGCAAACTGTGATGGGTCTCAAGACAGCCTTCTTTCTTACTGGGCACAGCTTTAGGCAGCTGAGAACAGACCATGTTGTGCTGGTGCAGGGGAATGGTGTTGTTTTAGAAGGAAGACAAATACACTCAAGGGCTCCTTCCTCTTTCAGACTCTACAAATTAAGAAGGGTCATGAATCAAGTTCTTTATTTAAGAGCAAATGGGCATAAAGAGTCAGACTACCATTTATAGATGACTTCCCCATTTAGGGCTTTTGGTATAGTGGTGGGATTTCTATATGGCTCTATAATGTTGCTAGATAGACGTACACACATGCCAGTGATATGAGCTTGTATCTATACTGCAGCGAAGACTAGCTCCTTATTTCCAGAGTTCACAATGACCTGCCAGGCAGCCCTCAGTGCTTCCTCTTAAAAAGAGGAAGATGAGCAGGGCGGTGGCACACACCTTTAATCCCAGCACTCAGGAGGCAAGAGCAGGGGGATCTCTGTGAGTTCAAGGCCAGCCTGGTCTACAGAGCAAGTGCTAGGATAGGGCTCCAAAGCTACACAGAGAAACCCTGTCTCAAAAAAACCAACCAACCAACCAAACAAACCAAAACTAAACCCAAAAACCAGGAAGATGTGGGCTCGGAGACAAGCTGCTCAAATTGGGAGAGCTAAGATTCCAGCTCAGGCTGCCTCCAAATCTGACATTCTTTTCCTATAACTCACTGCTTCATATCTTTCCAAAGCTCTTGGGTGTTGACTTTGGTGTGTCAGAATCTGCTTTGGGCTCAGTAGTATGCAGGAGTGCCTGCTGAGCCTGGTTGAGGCTCTGTTCACTCCCCAGGACCCCAAACTGTGAAATGCTTCAGTTCAAACAGCCCTAGGCAGAGAGCACAAGAGTAAATGGATCCCTTCTTCAGGATACATTTTCCTTCCCAAAGGGGATCTGAACACAGTATCCCTAAACTGGGCCATAGTCCCTACAAGATTTCTCCCACAGACATAGGTGCCTATGACTGGTCTTGCCTTGGAGGGCATCAGAGGTCCCTCTTGGGCTTGGGTAATGCTACTGAGGGTAATGACTTCCTGCCGTCTCAATGGCGGTGACTTGGTCTCCTTGCCTCTATGCTTGTACCTTACCTCATCTTTGAAGAGGCGCGCTTGGTCCTCAGAGCCCGTCAAGGTCTGAACGAAGCCAAAGACCTTGGAAATCAAAGGAGATATGTCAACCAGGGGACGGCACCTGGGGGAGGGGTGAGTCTGCAAGGTCTCGGTGCTCCTTGGACTGTGCCAGCAGTTTCTTCACCAGCCTTAGGAAAACCTCATGTCTTTGTACCGTGGCACATGAGGGAAGGTCCCCATGTTCCTTAAAGCATGCCTGTCCTGCTAGCTTTCCAGCTTGACGGACAGGACACACCCTCCCTATCGACTGCGAGAGGCCTGTTTTGGTCAGCCTTGCTGTGCAGCTAAAGGGACTGTGGGTAGGAGGGATGAGCCCAGGCTGGAGGCTCCATCTGAGTCAGTCCTGGCCTGAGCCCCCTGCTAGAGTGTGTTTCGGAGGGAGTCTGAGGGTGGGAAGAAGAGAGGGAAGGCTAAGAAGGGCTCTGTACCTCTTCGATGGTCCACTTGGAGACCGTGGAGGCTGAGATGCCCGCCACTCCTGGCAGAAGTTTGCACTGCTGCTCCCAGCCCATAGAGAATGAGCGGTCAGGGTGGGTCGACATGAAGAGGGACTGGTGTACCACACTGGGAGGAAGGGCTAGAACACAGAGGCAGAAAAGGATGGGCTGGTACTAGGGAGAGCTCACACCTGTGACACAGGGGACACTGGCTGGTGCAACAGACAGGACGAGGGCCCCCTCTGAAAGTCTGCAGAACCACATGGGTGACCTGGTGTGATGCGCTTCAAATGGGTGGCTTACTTACAGGCTCCAGCACTCACTGGAGTGACTCCAGTACTCCAGGCCTTGTGAGGGTATTCTCTTGGAGCTGCTGGCTTCACGCAGCCCCTAAAGTTCAGGCAAGTTCATCCCTGACATCAATGATGAGTTCTGAGTCCTTTCTGAAGTCCTTCTGGATTCTGACCAACTCTCTTTGACTAGGGTGACTCTGGCCCCAGAGAATGAGTTCTTATCAGCTCTCTAACCACAGGCTGCCTTTTGCTTGTTTTCTCTTATGCTCCGGAATCCCTGGCTCCGTGGGTCAGGTGACTGGTTAGCTTCCTCTTTAGCAGGCCTGGCACTCATCCCTTGGACTTTGCTCAGTTCAGCTGCTGACAGCCTGACCCCATCCTCTGCAGCAGGCCCAGGGGCCTCGGGCAGCTTGGCCACTCTCCTGGCCTCAGGCCACAGTTGAGGCTAATTCCTCTTTTTTAGCGCTTGCTGATCATTCTGGAGGCAGAACGCAGCACTTCCGGTGCCATCTTCTCTATGGCTGGTTATCCTGCCCCATCTCACTGCCTGAGCCTCAGGCTCATGGCTTCTTCAGCTCCTCATATCTCCACCCCAGGCCTTTAGGATTCTACCGTGGCTTAGCAGGTAAAGGTACTTAAGGCTGTGTAAGCCTGAGAGCATGGATTAGATCCCCAAATTCCATATAAAGGTAGAAAGAGAGAACTGATACTACAAAGTTGTCTGTCCTCTGACCTCCACATGCACACCATGCCCCCCCCTCAGAACTCTCCATATTTGGTCAGCAGGTGCCCCCTGGTGGTTAGAATGTAGTCCTGCAAATGGGAGCTGACCAGGCCACCATAGCAGACAGAAGAGGGACCAGCTAGGAAGGCCCAGAGGTCAGTCAAGTTGCTTGCAATTCAGGTGTGAGGCTACAAGACCTGCTTTCTGTTTCCATCAGGAGAGCAGGAAGAGACAGCGAGGGGAGTGTCTTTCAGGCACGAGCTTCCGGCTGGTGAGCAGCTGTGCTCAACACTTCACCCAGACACACAGAGATCTTTCTATTCTCAGTGTCTGACTGAGGACACCAGGCTCAGGGAATCCAGTGTGAGACACCAAGGATGCTCACACAAGACAGATCAGCAACGGTGCAAGCAGACAGCGGTCTGCATGTCAGGGAGAAGGGCCTGAGAGGATACCAATCCAGACACCCTGCCTGCACCTCCAGAATTGTGAGATAAATAAATGCCTGCTCTTTAGGCCACCAAGTCTATGGTATTTTGTTATAGAAATCAGTGCAAATGAATCCAAGGGGAATGGGCACTGATAGGACATTAGGGCACAGTGCTTTAAGCCTAATGCCAAGTTTGAATCCCAGTTCAGCCCCTCACAAGATGAGTGACCCTGAGCAAATGATTTTGCCTCATCACAGCACCTGGCTCAGTGAACATCATTTCAGACAATGACTCCCAAAGGGTGGGTTTCATCCATGTTTCCAGGTGAGGAAAGTGACTTGCTCAAGGTCACACACTGACAGCCATGGTCTTCTGAGGAAGCCTAGAATCACAGAACAGAGCAGGGCCACTGCTCCACCTTGTGGAAATCCAGACACTCCCTCCCACCCCCTTTCCCACGGACTCCTAGCAAGCCCATGGCTCCAGAAGCCACATCCACTCAAGGCCTTGTCCCGTGCTCTTGCAGCTGCTCAGTGCACCCAAAGGCTCTCAAAGCAGTGGTCTCCTTTCCAGCTGCTCTCACTCTGGTGCCCCTGGCGTCCGACCCCAGCAATCACAGGGCATTTAGTGCACCCACTTGACGGAGGACCCTAGCAGGGGACCTACACTCACCTTGGAAATCATCCTGCGGAATCTTGCGATACTTTGGAGGGCGTCCAATCCTGGAGAGAGAGGGACCAGGGCCGCAGCAGAGGATCAGTGGCTGGCCCAAGAAGACACGAGGCCCCACACCCGTGAAGCCCAGGACCTGACTCCCCGGCCTCCGCACCGGCCATGTTGGCGGGGCTTCTTCCTTGGGGACAAATTAGACGGATTCTTCTTCTTGGCTGCAGTCTCTGAGTCGGACAGGTCTGCCTTCAGCCGGCTCTGGTTCCTCTCGGCCAGCGGGCAGCCAGAGAGGCAGTGGTGGGCTGTGAACTTGCCTGTGACGTGCCCGGAACCATCACAGCCAGGAGTCGGGCACTTCCTGGGGAGATGACGGCTTTAGTTGGGTGGACCCCCTGGTCTCTACGGATCCCTCCCTAACCTTGGCCCCGTTCAGGTCCTGGGGAATTGGGATGGGTCTCACTCTACAGTCGTCTAAGACTCTCCCTGAGCCACACCTGCTTCCCTCTGGGCTCAGCTCTTAATTTACTCACCGCTGGTTAAGGTTGCATTTGGAGGGCTTTGTGTGAGGTGGGCTTCTGTGGCTGAGAGGGGGGCAGCACCCAGGTGAGGCAGAGCTGGATTCTCTGGGCCCTACAGGGGCAAAAGAGAAATCAGCACTGAGTTCTGGGGACAGGGGAACGGGACAGAGAAGGGACAGCTTCCGTTGGGGGTGGGGAGGTGGGATACTCGGAACTAGTTTCTTGGAGATCAGGCCCTGAGTCAAGCTGTACGCATTCCTGCCATGGGTATCAGCGATCACTGGGGAGGGAAGGTTTGGCTCTTGTATACTTTGTCGGGACCTGTGGGCATGCCTTGGTTTAGTGTAGCAGAAAGTCCTGGGGACTAGGGGGACAGGCATCCCAGGCTCACCGCCAGCACTGGAGCCCTGGGAAGGTTGTCAGAGATTGGTGGAAAGGGAAAGAACAGAGTGTTCTGAGAGTACACACGGAGAGGAGGCTCCAGGGGATGTCCTGTCTTGGAGCACCAGCCTGCAGGGTGGATGTCTGGGTGGTCAGCATCGATCCAGAAGTCATAACTGTGACTCCAGCCATCAAAGTGGAGCTGGGAAAGAAAGGCCATTTTACAGATGATAAGATTAAAGCTTGTAGAGGAAAAGGGACCTGTCCAAGTCCACAACAGTGAATCACAGATACGGAAAGAACTTCTCTAGCTTCCTATTTCATGCCATGCCTTTGACCTCTAAGCATTCTACAGCATTCCTGTCCCACTGACCTGTCCACTCCCCCAGGCCTAGGGTCCCAGAGCCACCTTTATCCGATGGTCCTCGGCATCCTCCACACTGGCTACCCGAATCAGGGCTGGGTTCCGGCGGTCTACCGCCTCCAGCTTCATGTTGACCAGGAAGCTGTGAGGGGGTCTCTATGGGGAGAAAGGTGCTTTCAGGCTAAGGCCCAGCTCTGAAGAGAGCCACAGGTGAGGCTGTGTCTTCACCAAGGCCCTCTTGTGGCTGACTGACGGGACCACATCTTCCTAAGCTCAGCTCTGGGGAAGCCAAGAGTCAACTCACCACTTTGAAGGCCCAAGTGGGCACAGCTGAGGTCCCAGTTTCTTCTAGATACTTCTCCCAGCAGAAACTATCAGGATCTGGGTAGTCTGGAAAAGAGAGTAAGAGCAATATCTGAGCCAGCCTGGTAGTTCATGGAACTCTCTGTCCCCAGCTGGGATCAAGAACATGGAAGGAAGCCAGGGGTGGTGGCACCTGCCTTTAATCCCAGCACTTGGGAGGCAGAGGAACCTGGGAGTTCAAGGCCAGTCTGGTCTACAAAGCTAGTTCCAAGATAGCCAGGGCTACACAGAGAAACCCTGTGTCAAGAAACAACAGACACAAGACAAAACAAACCGAAGATCATGGAAGAGGTGGAGAATCTTGGAGTAGAAATCTCCCCCATGCACCCACACTTAGATGCTTGCGTGGGACTCTTTTGGGGGGGGGTCCTGGTGAGAACTGAGCACCATGAAAGCTCAGGGTTGTTGGAATCCTAGCTCCATCACTTCTGACCCTATTTCTCTTACTTAGTCCTAGCTGAACCTCTGCTACACTGAGGAAGGACCTTTTGCTTGAGATCCTGACATGCTTGAGGTAATCATTTAACTTTCTTTTCCCAAACTCCAAAATGTCAAGGCTCTGGGCCATATCTGTTCCCTATTCTGATGCTAAAGGGCCTGCTAAGGAGGCACGGGACCGTGTCTAACATGCTAAGGGAAAAGGAGAGAGTGAGAGCCAGGCCTGGGAAGGAAGCATGCTTGGGCAGCAGCCTCACCTTGTGGAGGGGTGAGGGGCTTTCCTTGCTTCTGGCACCAGCCTACCGGGTGGATGTAGGGACTGCTGGGATCACACCTGAAACCCAAGAACATGTCATTGTCCCAGGGCCTGCCGTCCCCATGGCATGGCACCAAGGACTTCCTGGTGAGGTGACAGGGGACATCAGGTCAGAAAACGGCTACACTAACTGAAAACCAGCACTCCATAATAGCCTGTGGGGACCTATGGGCATGTGCGCTTTCTATTTCCTGATGAAATAGAGAGCACTGAGCTTGTACCACCTGTGACTCAGTTCAGACCCACAGGGCAGCTCACTACCCACCCGCTCCCGCGCCCCAATCTGGAGCAAGATCTGAATAACTGGGTGGGGGCCACATGGTATCTGACTGTCCCCGAGGGGACGCCCCCGCCCGTGGCGCCTCTTCCCCAGCAGGTCCCGGTACCAGTAGTCGTAAGTGTCATCCCAGTTGTCAAAGTGCACCAGGAAGCGGCCGCCCACCACATCAGTCACACTGGCCACACAGACGAGGGATGGGTTCATTCGGTCCACAGCCTCCAGCTTCATGCCCACCTCGAAGCCCACTGGAGGAGAACTCTAGGAGTAAGAAAAGGGCTGTCACAGCCAGGGCCAGGGTGGCTGGAGCGAGCCCGGAGCCGCTGGCAAACCAAGGACCAGGTTCTCTACATGGATGGCCTGGGGTTGGGAAATGGGCACAGGGGAGAAATAGGCTGGGATGAGGGTTGCTCTGGGCCACTCGGGGATTTCTGTCCTCCAAGTGCAATGATGTAGGAGAAGGTAAGTGACTGTCAGGAGGCTATGTATTTACCCAAGGCTGAGGGCAAGTTCCCCTACTGGAATGGGCCTTGCCAGGCTTGCCTGAGGCAGTAGTCGGGGGTGGGGGGGGGTGGGGGGGGGAAAAGGGGACACTGACGTGCTCCACCACTGAAGGGAGCAGGGAGTGTGGAGGGAACTTGTAGAATTGGCTGGGTAGTTGCCACAAGCAGGCAGAAGCTTCAGAAGACAGTGTCTCCTCATCTCTACATGCCTGTCTAAGACAGTTATCCTCCTCTTAGAAGTGACATCTGTGACCCAGAACACGCCAGTAAATGGCAGGGCTAGAGGTCAAACAGTTGACTTAAAAAAAAAATCTGCATTTCCCACCACTAGCAGGTGGGACCCTAATAATATCTTGTTAACCCCAACTATATATGGTCTCTGGGGCCAGACAGGAATGGAAGAGTAACTGTCCCTGTGGACAGCATGATGGAGTCCGTGGCCCTTCAGTATGGTCATGGGGACGAGGGGTACTCTACTAACCTGCATATCCAGCCCCCGGTATGGAAGTATTTTCAATGGGAGCTCCGTATCTCTCAGACCCTCTGCTTGGGACTATGTGATACTTAACTGTTTAAGCTGCCACCTGCCTCTGAACAGATTGAAAACAGGAGATGAGCTGATGGGAATGTCAGCAGATTAATGAAAGGGGAGGCTGTCAGAATAGACTCTGACCTTACACTAAGAAGCTGAAGAGCAAACCAAAGGAAGAACAATTGAGCAGTGACAAGTTAGTGTCCAGCAGTGAGCTAGGGCTTCTGGAGCGTGTATGGGGGAGAATCCTGCAGCACAGAATGCTACGGTTTGTGTGTCCCCTAAAGGGTCCTGTGCTAGATGCGGACTGGAGGCCTCTGGCTAGCCACTGAGAGATTGAACACTTCTGAAAAAAAAAAATAGAAAGCAGGCTAGAGAGATGGCATAGGATTGAGTGCTTGCTGCTTAATCATAAGGACTGGAGTTCAGGTCCCAGCACCCATGATCTGTTAATGTTTGTAACTTCAGCTCCAGGTTCTGATGGCATTTTCTGGGCCCTGCAACACACAGGCACTGCCATATACAGACAACACACACACACACACACACACACACACACACACACACACACACACACACACGCACGCACACACACACACACACACACACACGCAAAATCGTAAAACGAAATAAAGCTTGAGCCAGGCAGAGGTGGTGCATGCCTTTAATCCCAGCATTTGTAAGGCAGAGGCAGGAGGATCTCTGAGTTCGAGGTCAGCCTGGTCTACAGAGTGAGTTCTGGGACAGCCAGAAAAAAAAAAAAAAGCAAGCAAGCTTGTACTCAAACCCCTGTGACTCCCTGTGATCTCTTCCTCACATGCCTTCATCCTCGGAGACTTAACCGAAAGGGCCACCTAATCACGGATTTTCTGCTTCTGAGGCTACAGGGTACAGATGTGTGTCTTTCTGTATGTCAGGGTTAGGTACTTTGTTATAGCCACAAAACAGATGAGGGCTGGTGAGATGGTTGGGGGGGGGGGTAGAGCACCTGCCATTGAGCCACACTGTTCGAGTTTTGAGACCCTGGATCCACATGGTGGAATAGGAAAACCCACTCCCACAAGCTGTCCTCTGACCTCCACGAATGCTATGTGGCATGTGCATCACACATACAAAATCAATAAAAAAAAAAAAAAAAAAAAAGTAATTTAAAAGAAAATGGCCGAGGCAAGATGGAAGGAGGAAATGGGAATGTATAGCCAGCACCCCCCATTTTGAATTTGGCCTTTCCCCAAACAGGCCTCAGAGCCTGAAGAGACCAGAATAGAGCTGACAGATGTTCTCCATTCTGCTGAGTCAGATCCCCTGGGCGGGCTGCAGTGACTTTGGCCTGAGGGTGATGTTCACTTTTACACAGATACTCACGTGGCTCTGGCTTACAAACAGGTGCTTGGGGGCTGCCTGGGCTTTTGTACTGCGTAGGTACTGGCTCCAGCTGAACTCTTCTTCCTTGTAACCTGGGCCCCTCGGGGGAATGAACAGAGCGCTGTGCAGAGGCCGGGCCGTATAAGGGTCCCAATAATGAAGTAGAAACAGGCAAGTCTGAGGTCCCCAAAACCCACAGGGCCCCTGTGCTAAAGGAAGATGGAACCTGAACACTCAAAGGGTTCAGGAGCCTCAGAGTGCAGTTCTAGCAGAATAGGACAGAAACTGGCCAATGTTTAGCTTTTTTATTTTCCTTTTAAATGTGGGATTCAGAGTGGCCTGAAGGAATAAGGGGTGGGTTCCAGGGACCAACCCAGGGAGGTCTTACCTTTGGGAGGCTGCAGCTTATGCCCAGTCTTCTCAAACCAACCAGCAGGATGAATGTCAGGGGAGTTGGCATTGACCCAGAAGTCATGGCACTCAGAATACCCATCAAAGTGCAGGCGTAGGCGGTAGCCACACACCTGGCCGTGACAAGAATCAGAGGCACATCAATGCCAGAAGATGCCACCTTCCCACTCCTTCACCTCTCCCGGTCCAGCCTGCAGTGTCAGGGATCCAGTGCTAGCAGGTGCCCTGAGTGCTGAGCACAAATGGGTAGATGCTATGGCAGCCAGCTGCCCTCCTAAGCGCCAGCTAGGACGTGGGAAGTACTACAGACTGTCCTGTGCTCAGAGTCTTCCCTTCAGCCGCTTCTGCTCACTGTACACCCTCAGTACACCCTGCTGTGGTCACACTCTATCTCATGCTCCAGAGGCCATTTTGCTGCAGCTGCTTGGAATTTTCTGCTCAAACACAGGCCGTGGCAGGTAGGCCTTCCTATTAAGTGTAGGAATATTCCTTGATCTGCAAGCCCATGGCCAGTCACTGCTGCTGTGTTCATCTCAGATTCCCTTCCTAGAGGACAAAGGCCCTATTTGGTTTGAGACAGCATCCCTACTTTTGGATCTTTCATATCCTGGCCCCCAGCAGAGGCAACTAATACTATTCAGTAATACCAGTAACCCACTGCTCCTCATCTGCTTTCTACTTTTTGCTTTTAGCTTCAATGGATCCTCTCGAACGTCTGAGCTGTGTCTCCCTCCCACCCCCACTCCCAGCAGCTACATCACTCTACACTGAGACATTGGGAGGGCATTTCCAGCTCACCTCAGCCACAGTGAGGATGAAGTACATGGACGGATGTTGAGGGTCAATGCCTTCCAGCTTCATGCCCAGTTTGAAGCCATTCTTGTTATGGGCGACTGCCTGAGACTGTCAATGCACAGAGTGGAGAGGACCCATCTTCCATCCAGTCTTATCCTTGCCTAGTGGGCTTGTGGCGAAGGAGCTGCCCTTAGGCCCCATCTGCCTGCTAGTCTCAAAGGGGGTGAATTATTGGGGATCTGTCCTGCAAGGGGCCCCCAGAAGGTGAGACAGCCGCAGAACTATTCTGAAGGGCTGGGTTAGGGCTAGAGTTAAGGGCTCGCTCATCTACCTCACAGTGAGGTCAATGCTGAACGGGGGGGGGGGGGGGAGAGGAGGCACCAGAACCCACAAGTCAGCAGGTGCAGGGCGAGCCTGGAGGGCACCTCCCTATTTCCAGGACACCCTTTTCAACTCTGGACATCTTCAATCTGCTGATACATCAAGAATTGTTCAGAAGAAAACACTAGAAGGCCCAAGGTTGGTGGTGAGTCCCTGAACTGAGAAGATAAAATCTCCTTAGATTGAAATTGCCCAACTCACGTCCTGGAAAAGGCTGACTGGGGCAGTGACAGCCTTCTGCTCCTCCAGGTAGGACTCCCAGGACCAGCCTTCCTTCTTCTCACCAGACCCTGCAGAGACAAGACAGGCGGGCTGGTTCCAAGGCATGGACAATCTTCCTCGGTTTCCTCTGATTGAGCTCTACCTTAACCTCCAAGCAAACCTTTGTCTGTCCACATGTACCTCTTGCTTCACTCAGCTATGACAGTGCCAGGCACAGGGGGCTCAGACCTGAGGCAGAGTCACAGATTCTGTTTGTTTCTCCTCCACCCCCAAGCCACTGTCAGCAGAAGCCCTTTGGATTATACAGCAACGAAGGTCACCAAGTCTCAGCCACTCTGTCCTTGGAAATGTGCAGGGTGAAGATTAGTACTGAAGCCTGAGCCAGAGGACTTAATCACACTGCATCCTAAGCTCACAAAGGGAAAAGGAGGAAGCAGAGAAGTAGGAGGGAGAAGAGGGAGGAAAAGTGAAGGCAAGAACACACAGAAATAAGATTGTTTTCCTAAGTGCTTACAGGCGTAGACAAACAAATGTGTGTGAGCCTAATGTGCTCCAGTATGTGGACTGATTCCATAGTCTTCCCAGACATGTACATGCTGAGGGTGAGCACATATGTGTGTGATGGGTATCTGCATTCATGGATATGAGTGTGTGCAAACACACACACACACACACAAACACACACACACAGAGGCACACACAAATAAGAATGTATTATTTCCAGAGCCTACAGTTAAGGTCTCGTTTATACCCTTAACAGTACCTATGGGAGGAGGGTTACGATGTTTCCCTGCTGGTAGATTCCTGGCTTCCCTGCATAGGACACTTTCAAGGCTGTGACAACCAGTCATGCAGAAGGTAGACTGGCCAGCTCAACTGAGCCGCCTTCCTCAGAAGGCCACAGACAATCAGAGACCCAACAATGTGTAAGACTCAGCTTATATTTTGGGTGGAAATAGCACTAGCTTCTGGGAATGGACTCAGCTTTGTGATGCTTTCTACCACAGAGCACTTGTGAGGATTCTGTAACACGTGGTCCAGAAGAGGTCCCTATGAGACACCAAGGCTAGAGTCATGCTTCTGATTCTTCCCGCACTTACTCAAGAGTGGCCCAGCTCTTCCTTGCCCTGGTTCACCCCACCTTGTGGAGGTTTGTTGCTCAGGAAGATGGTTTGTTCCTCAGCGGAATTCATTTGTTCTACAGCTGCCTAAACCCCTCAGTCACCAAACCTTGAGCTCCCGATAACACGACCCAGCTGGGCTAAGACAAATATTTTGTTCATCAACTGATCAATCAAGCTATCAGACTCTGCACATCTCTTCAGGGCATCCTTTGTCCTGAGTAAGATTCCTACTACATTTCTCTGGTACTGCCCCCAGCTCTCTACACAGCTTCATCAATACTCACTGAGCAGGGGTGTGAAGAAACAAAATCATAGCTCAGGATGCCTATGCCAAAGCAAACACTTCTCACAGGCACTTTCTGATCTGTTAGCTCAGTCCCCTCATGTCACTTCCTTCCCTGCACCAGTACTCAATTTTCCTAAATGTATATGGTGTCATACCTGGATGTCTGTCTATGCACCATGTATATCCAGTGCCCATGGAAGCCAGAAGAAGGTGACAGATCCCTCTGGAACTGGAGTTACAAATGGTTGTGAGCCACCAGGTGGATGCTGGGAATTGAACCCAGGTCCTCTGAAGGGCAGCCAGTGGTTTTAACCATTGAGCCATCTCTATAATCCCCAGCAATGCTATTGTGATGCTCTCACTGGACATAACTTCTGTCTATCACACACTACTTTGTTTGACTGTGACTATTCCTTTTACCATTTAGTGGAGCCACCTGTACGCCATGTCTGCTGCCAGAAACTGGGTGTCCAGATATGCCTCAAGGATTTAATAAACATCATCTCTTTTAGAACTCCCAATACCTAGAGGTGACAGGAAGGATTGGTAGGCACCCCTTTCACAGATGAGAAAATAGATCTTGTATATCATCCACAGAAAAGGGGCCTGGCTCCTATACCTCTTTGTTATATCTGGATTACTTCTGTGGTCAAGACCCTGTTTTCTCCAGTTTCCTGCATCCTTTCCTCTCAAAGAACTTTTAGTGTCATCTTCAAGCTCAAGTAAGTCCCAAAGCTCCCCTGTGTGGGAACACAATCTGTGCCCTCTACACTGATACCCAGTCAGGCTGACATCCAGGATGGGTTCCTTGCCAAATCATGGAGCCGTTGGTTGCTGGATATTTGTACATTGTGTGAAGATGTGTCATTGTGATTGGTTCAATAAAAAGCTGAATGGCCAATAGCTAGGCAGGAGAAGTCAGGCAAGACTTCCAGGCAGAAAGAGAAACTGAGGGGATGAATGGAGGTGCATGAGAGATGTCAGTGAGTCATAGAAGAGGTCAGACATACAGAGGGAGTAGAGGTAAAAAACCATGTGGCAAAATGTAAATTAATAGAAGCTGGTTAATTTAAGTTGTAAGAGTTGAGTCAGGTGGTAGTGGTGGTACATGCCTTTAATCCCAGCACTTGGCAGGCAGAAGCAGGCAGATCTCTGGGCCAGCCTAGTTTACAGAGTGAGTTCCAAGGCAGCCAGAGCTACACAGAGAAACCCTGTCTGGAAAAGCTAAAAGAGAGTTAGTTGGAAACAAGCCTAAGCTAAAAGGCCAATCATTCATAATTACAATAATCTCCATGTCAGAAAGTCTGACAAGAAAGTCCAACTACATTGGCATCCAACATGGGACCATGTATATCCACACAGGGCCCAAGAAAGTTGAAAAAAGTTTCACACATGGAGCTAGACGTGGTTTCTTAGTAACTGCCATCTCTCAAGCAGGCCCAGTGCTAGCAGCATACAAAGGCACAGCTCCTTGAAGAGGGCCTACTGTGCCGCTGAGCACTTGAGCAGCTGGCATGCTACTCAGTACTGAGTACAAACCACAGTGCATACACAAAAATTCCCCAGAGCTGGGATAGTTAGATGCAGCTGAGATGGTTGGGTGTGGCTGGGACAGTTAGGCACTACTGCCTGTGGACCCAAAGGGGTCAGAGCCACCCACACTGCCATGTGCTAAGCCAGCTGTGCAGTGGAGGGCCTGGCTATTTAAGGTTTGTCTCCATAGTCAAAGAAGGCTGCAGACACACAAAAAGTCAGGCCCAGACTGAGAAAACCTCTGAACAGGTACAGTATGTGTGAAAACGTGCTTAGATGTGGAAGAAAGAAGAGAACACTGGTACAGACAGTCATAGAAAAAAATAGTTTAAAAACAGAGTGTTTAAAGAGAGAGCAAAGTAATATAAAAATAAATAAGTCACTTAAAGATGGGAAATATAGGACACCTGGATCCTGAACTTCATTAACTTCAAACATTTTTAAATGCTAATAACAATATGGTAGCTGCTTAGAGTTATTGAATTGTGGGGAAAAAAACTACTGAATTAAACCAGTCTATATATTTTAAGAATGTCTTAACGTTACAATGGAAGTCAAAAAATGGGTTCAGTTAGGGGAGAGGTTATGCCTTTGTTTCCACAGGAAACAAAAAGCTATGGATTCCTTAAAAATTAATAGATACCATATTTGATTAGGGGAACCACCTAAACACCTTGGCTGAAGATGTGAAGGAAGAAACCAAGAAAAACTAACTACAAGAGAGGTGATGTATATGCTGAATGAGACATGATAAATCTTGTTGTCTACTGAGTCCCCATGACTTATTATTACATGCTACCCTTCCATATGGCATGGATAAAGATTTATGTTGCTGTTTAGTTATGTATTGCAAACAGATTTATGCCTTTTACCTGCTATCTTTTACCTGCTGACAGATGCCTTTTACCTGCTCAAACATAGGACAGAGAATCATCTTCAGCTGACTTGTGCACACTGCACATTCCACACTTCTGTCAATGCAGATGTGTGTGTTACCTTTAAAAGTTTGTGTGCTTTCAGGAACAAAAAAAGAACCAGACACCAATGTAGACAAGCAGCCTAGGTGATCCAGCCTCCTCAGACTGCCTCTGTTGCACGTTCCTCAACAATCTGTATTCAGAACAACTTCAAAGTAGCTAGCTAAGATGTTCCAGCCTCACAGACTATCCATCCAGGACTTCAGACAAGCCCTGCCCTTTCCTATCACACAGAGACTGAACAACAAATGATACAGCTAGTTCTCCCAGGACTTGACCATCATCCCAATGTTCTCAGGTTCCCCTAAAGATGCCATCATTCCCCGATGACAACAGGAAGTGATTTTAAGAACATGATGCTCACATTCCCAAGAGGTAAGGTGGGTGGTTTTTGGTTGTTCAGTGGGTTATGTGTATTTATCATAATTTAGGGGGGTTGGTTGCAAATTGTTACTGGCCATGGTAAGGGAGGTTAGATTCAAGGATCTCTTTCTGAAAAGAAAAGGGGGAATATAGGAATGATAGGATAAAAGGGTGTATTATTAAATCTATTTAATCTATTATTAAACTAAAAGCAACTTATTCTCAAACATTTTACATTGGTATGGATTTTTGTATACTGATGACAAATTTAAGATTATTTTTGTTATAACATATTGCATATATGTAGACAGAAGACACAGAGGCTTATATTAATTATAAACTGCTTGGCCCATGGCTCAGGCTTTTTATTGGCTAGCTCTCTCTTGTTAATTATTAACCCATTTCTATTAACCTGTGCATTCCCATATGGTCTTGGCTTATTGGTGATGCCCGGTCCTCTCGCTCCCTCAGCAATTACATGGCATCTCACCGCACTCGCCCCCATTCCTCTTCTCAGCATTCTCCTAGTCTGGTAGCCCCACCTGTATTTCCTGCCTAGCTACATCCTGCCTGGCTATTGGCTACAACAACTTTATTCATCAAACCAATGAGGGAAGCATATGTTCACAGCATACAAAATATTTCTGAAGTGAAGAGTTCCCCCCCTCCACGGTATCTTCTCATTTCCAACTGCAGAACAAAACCACACACAAAACTGGCAAAGCCCTCTGTGCACTAGCCACTCCTTCCTGTTCACACTTTACCACGAACCTCTATGCCCTCTGATTCTGTGGCTTTGCACAGCCTGAACCATTTAGTTTGGTTATCCTGCTCCACAATTTTCTTCCATCCACCTAACTTTTCCTCACCTTTAAGACCCAGACCCAGCTGCAGCATCCAGCTAGGGCTTCACAAGGAGTGGATGTTCAACAAGTGTTTATTATATGAGTAGAGGAAGGACAGATGGATGTACTGAGTCATGGAATGACTGCATGTGGCAACTGTCCTGTGAAACGGCTTTGTATTTACAAGCTTCACACACAATACCTGCCACACTGTTGTTATATGATATATAACATACTGTTACATGATATATAGCACATTATACTGTTATATGATAGCTACTTGTCTACATATCCATCTCTACAACTGTGAGCTGATTAGGTGAGCCTTGGTATCTAGCTCACTCAGAATGCTCAGCTCCAGCCAGTGCCTGGTACACAGTAGACAATATCTAGAGGACAGAGGGAGAAAATGAGGCAAACAGGATGCCCAATATTCATAAGCCACCTAAGGCTACATAGTGAGATCTTATCTAAGACAGTGGTGTGATGGGGAGAAATGATGAGGTCATGAGGGCACTACCCTCATGAACATGCTGCTATTGAGAAATGATTTTTTACAAGCTAATGAAAGCCAGGGACCATCTTTTCCCTTAAAATTAAGGGTTTTTAGAATTTTGCATGGATTATTGGGTTAGGAACTTCAGTTAAGAAAGTGTTTCTCTAGCTGAGCATGGTGGCATACGGCTGTAATCCCAGCTCTAAGGAGGCGGAGGCAGAGGCAAGGCCAGCCTGAGATCCATAGTGAGTTCCAGTCCAGCCTGGGCTTATACAATGAAAAGATGGCACAAACCAACAAACAAAAATCAGAAGCTGTTTCTGAGCTGGGTGAGGCAGTTCATACCTGGAACTCAGGGTCTTCAAAGCAGAGCCAGGAAAGCTGCAAATTGGAGTCTAGCTGGAGCCAAAGGTTAAGAGCTTGTTTCAAAAAACAAAACATCTCACTAAGCCAGATAGTACGGTACATGCCTTATAACCTCAGCACTTGGCTGAGGCAGGAGAACCATTCCTTTGAGGCCAACTCAAGAAACAAATCCAAAAGGGCCAGGAGTGGTGGCACACACCTTTAATCACAGTACCAGGGAAGCACAGGCAGATGGATCTCTGAGTTTGAGTCTAGTCTGGTCTAAGGAGCAAGTTTCAGGCCAGCCAGAGCTACACAGTGAGCCAAAAGGAATTTGAAAGAAAGGGGTTGGGGAGGAAGAGAAGAAGAGAAGGCAAGTGAAAAACAAGACAGAGTCCCTGTTGTTGGTACCCTGACTGGTGTCTAGACTGAACGATACTCAATATTCTCAGGTCCCTCCCAACTGCATGCCACTGTAGCATTTTAACATAGAGTTAGTGCCTTACATCCAATTTAAAAATGAGTACAGGTCTGAATTTCTCCAAAGAAAACATACAAATGGCCAATAAATTCGTAAAAAGGATGTCCCATGGACCACTTACTAGTCATTAGGAAAACACAAATCTAAATAACAGGGAGATGCCATGCCAGACCCCACAGGATGGCTAAGATGGGAAAATCAAAGAGATATCCCCAAGTGCTGAGGACAGGGATAAGCTAGAATCATGCACATTCTGTCGGGAATGTAAGATTACAGGATAGCCACTTTGGAAAACAGTCTAGTAATGTATCCAAATGATAAATACAGAGTTATGTGGAAAAGGTTTCACTCCTAGGTATATGTCCAATAGAAATGAAACATATGTCTACACAAAAACTTGTACAGATAAGAGAACGTAATAGTTCAAAATAGAATTAATCTGCCCATCAACTGATGAACAATCTTGGCATGGATGTTATTCAACAAAAGGGAATAAAGTCCCCATGCATACTAAAACATGGCTAGACTTTGATAGCACCATGCTACAGAAAATGAAATCAGCCACAAAGGACCCCATGCATGATGGTATTTGAATGAGATGGCCCAGTCAGGCAAACCTGCATATGCAAAAGGCAAACTGCTATTGGGGGATGACGGTCATTTGCAGGGACGACCACTGGTGAGCACAGTTCACCTACTGAACAGGCATTGATTGAGAACCCGCTCTGTATCAGGCTCTAGGCTAAACATCCAAGACACAGTGACTAATAACCTCAGGGCCAGGCTGGCAAGATGACTCAGTGTGTAAAAGCACTTGCTGCCAAGCCTGATGAGAGCAGTCTCTGATCTCTAGGACCCATGTGGGAGGAAAGAACTGACTCCAGAAAATTGTCATCTGACCTCCCAACAGGTTCTGAGGTACATGCACCTCCCCCCAATAGACATAGGTAATAAAACTATAAATGAACAGAGAGATAAATTCAGGCCCTGTGTTGATATAATTCAAGTGTTGGGGAAGAAGACATGACATTGCTACGTAGATGAGTACCAGCATGGTAGGTTCTGCTTAGATCCAGTTGACAGCTGTCACCTGTGACTATAGACATACTACTAGCAGGCCAGAGGGCTGAAGCTTACCACAAAGGACCTCTTTCTTAGGACCAGAAGATCAAAAGGGGCTCCAAACAGGAAGGTCAGACTAATAACCAGTGTGGGCTTGCTGATATCAAAGGGAATCAATACTACACGGCTCCTTGAGTCTTCAGATACGAAGCCCAGACTTCCCAGTAGGGCCTCTTCACTGCTGAATACCGCAAAATAAACAACCCCAAGAATAAACACAGAGTCGCGCACAAACCACAAGTGGTTTCGTTCTCATATACTACCGTAAGCTCACAGGTACCGCATACAACCACAGCCATATGACCCACACTTCCAGTTTCACACCCCCAAAAGCATATAAACACTTCATATAAACAAATACGTGCAGGCCACCATACCCGGCTGGGTTCTGCTCCATTCTTCACTCTCTGGGAGGCGGGTGGTGGGCCTTCTCTCTGCATCTTTTCCTTCTTCTTGCTTCTGTAGAAAGAAAGCCTGATTCGAGCGTCCTGTCCTCACGGGTTAGGTTGTAAGTTCAGTCTCTGGTCCCTGGCTCCTGCCTGGCTCTCTGGTCCAATGTTATGCTTGAAATTGGAAGTTTCCTCTAGGGTATGTGCAAGAACTCTGCTCCTGCAGTCAATCCATTGCTTGGGTCTGTATCACTGGGGGGTATAGATTTGTGTGCGCACACATACCCTTGTCACACAGCCTGACTTCAATTCTCATTCCCAGACAGGGAAACTGAGTACATGAACGTATGTTCTGTGCTGATTTTACATGTCCAAGAGAATTTCCTGTATCTGCAGCTTCAGCCTGTGTTTCCTGAATGCTCACCTAGGTACTAGACTAGTGATTTTGTTTTCCACTGCCACACATCCAGCTTGGGTGCCAGCTCCCTTGTGTGTGTTGTAACCCTGACATCAAGCCATGATGGGAGTCACAGAAAATCGGGAGAATGATTTGTAGGTCAGATGTGTTCAGGAGGTAGAGGCAGAAAGACAGAGTTCAAGGCCAGTCACATCTACAAGTAAATTTAAATACTGCCTGGCTTATATAGATTCCTTCCTTCCCTCTTTCCTTTTCTTTTTCCATTTTTCTCTCCCTCCCTCCCTCTCTGCCTTCCTCCCTCCCTCCCATCCTTCTTCCCTCCAGCTTCTCATCTCTCCCTGTGTCCCTCTTTTTACCATGGCCTCCGGCTCTGACTCCTCTGAGGTACTCTGGTACTCCCTATGTTTCCTCTTCTTCATCGGTTTTAGGAGCTCAGAAGCGATGGTACAGCCTGAATTCTCTACTATGACTGATCTACAAAAGGAACGGTCTCATTAGAGGAAAAACAAAACAAAATAAAACAAAACCAAAACCCCCTGTATATTCTATAGCATTCACTGAATTCACGTTCTCCTAAGCCCGGTGCCAGAAAGAGACCGTAAGAGCTAAAAATGAAGCAAGAAAGGCTGTAACCCCTCGTTCTTACCGCTTTTGGAAAGGTGGAGGGCAGCGGACTCCCGAAGAACTAAGGTCTGGGGCAGTGCCTTGCTGAGGCTCACAACTCTGGCAGGAGCTCACGTCTTCTGGGGTTTCCTGAGAGATGACTTCTTGAGAGTTCTGGTGGATATCTGTGGAAACCCGCTGGTCCTTAGTCTTTCCTTCCCTGGACAGCCACATAAGGCTCTGCCCACATCCTTACAGCATCCTTCAGCCTTCTCCACTTAGGGCTACCTCCGGTTATATTCTCATCCAAGAGTTCTCAAAGAGCTCAAGCCTCACCCACCCACACATTGCCGTGGAGAGCAGAATCGTACCAGAGTGCCGAGTGCCCATGTGGCTTCCAGGAGCGCCATCTTCATGTCCAACCAGGTCGTCTTGCTGCCGTTCCGGGCTTGGTGGTCGCTCTACCCCCATCACATTCAATGGCACGTATTCGCTTATCCGAAACTGGGGGATGCAGAATTCTGAGGATTACATCAGTTTTCTACTTGGGTCATCCACACTTTATTTTGCTCTGCCAGCCTTCCGACCACGCCCCCACCTGCAGTGCCAGTAGCCTCTTTATTTCCGTCTCAAGCCCCGCCTTCAAGACCACCCTACAGCTGCCAATCAATCTTCAAGGGCCCTGACCCGGAAGCCACTTACAGCTGAAGGTGTGGAAATCCCTGTCCAATCCAGAAGCCTGACTGTGCTATTGGTCCCTTTCCCGGTGCTTAGCTGTGGTAGAATGGTGGCAGTAATTGGCTCACTGCTAGTCACCCGCTCCAGGGCGCCCACATGGACTTGCTCCCGGGGATAGGACACATCCAGGACAGTGCTGGGCAGACCAAGGGGAACTGCATTGGCTAGAAACAGATACACAGATAAGACAGGGCACAGGTGAGGGCTAGGACGCTGCCTCCTGCCACCCGTGTGTATACAGTTGAAAAGCAGGTAAAGAAGAGAGAAAAATAGCCAGATGTGAAGGTGCATGCCTTTAATCCCTGCACCCAGGAGGCAGAGACAGGCGGATCTCTGAGTTTGAGGTCAGCCTGATTTACAAAGCAAATTCCAGGGCAGCTGGGGCTACACGGAGAAACCCTGTCTCAAACAAAACAAAACACAATTAACAAAAAGAGTAAAAGGTGTCATCCTCGACCCCTATCTACACCTTTTTGAGCAAGCAGGGGACCGCCAGGCCTCTGACCTTGACTTACTACGAATAATATAGGCAGTTGCAGGCAGGTGAGGACTGGAGCCTGTGCTGTCTCTGGTCAGCAGGTGCACACTGACCTCCCCTGTAGAAGACCTCTTCTGTGTTCTTAGCATCTCCATTTCTGTGTGCCCCTCCATTCAGCTGAGTCTACAAACCAAACACAGTCACCAGGGTGATGAGGGTGGGAAGGGAAGGGGCTTTTTGGAGGAGAAACTGGTCAGCTTCTAGTCAGCAACTTGCTAAGAAATGTCTCGTCTCTGAGAAAAGTAGGGTGGCTGCTGTTGTTGTTTTTCAAGACAGGGATTCTTTGTGTAGCAGCCAGAAGTAGAGTCTTTTAGGACACCAGCATCGAGGCTTAACTCCAGTATGCCCTCCATTTGTGAGGAGGGACATAATGTTATGTTTGTGGGTACCACGCACTGTGTGTACAGACATGCCTTGTAGGAAGAGCGATTCAGGCCAAGGTTCTGTTTTGGCCAGTGACAAAGCCCAGGCTAAGCCCAAATCCCTTCTTCCTTGACCCTCCATTTCCATTCAGCACAAGGTCCAGAAGTTGGAGGGTATAGCTTATCGGCAAAGCACTTGACTAGCATGTATGAATCCTGTGTTCAAATCCAGCAGAGGGGTTGGGGGATGGAGAAGAGGAGGAGAGGAGAGGAGAGGAGAGGAGAGGAGAGAAGAGAGAATGGTATTCTGGTATTCTGTAGCATGACTGCTACTCAGCTGCTTCTTAGCAGTCATGGCTTCTGGAATATGTTGTAAGGAAGGATTTGAGGCTGATCCCAGGATGGAGTCTTCAGTTAGATTCTCAGCTTTTCCACATTGACTTAAGATCCATGACTCCAGATAAGTAGCTTTCCACTCTGAGCCTCAGTTTTCTTTTCTCTTTTCTTTCTTTCTTTTCTTTTTTTTCTTTATTCTTTTTCTTTCTTTTTTTTTCAAGATTGGGTTTCTCTGTAACAGCCCTGGCAATCCTAGAACTCTGTAGACCAGGCTGGCCTCAAACTCACAGAGACCCTCCTGTCTCTACACCCAAGTGCTGGGATTAAAGGCGTGTGCCACCACTGTCTGGAAAGCCTCAGTTTTCTTAACTATAAAATAAATAAAGGTGGTAATGGCACCTACCTGAAGAGGCTTTGGCGAATGTTGACTCTGAAGTATTGATACCAGCAGGCCTTCGGCAAATAGCAGTCCTCCCCCTTTAAACAGGAACTCCAGGGCGTTTGACAGCTTCTAGCCAATACCATGGACACTGCCTACTTGCAAAATCAGGTTGCAATGGCTGTTGTCTTGTGCCCACCCTCCCTCTTTCTCTCTTGCCGATCTTGTGTTCATTTATTTCCAAGAATCTCCTCCCTAAAATGGAATATATTACAGATGTCTATTGTTAGAAGTATAAAGCCATGGTATGAACAGGTAAGTAGGTAGATAAGGTCAGAGATATGACCTGATTAATTGAAGAAGCTTTCAAACCAAACAAGATGAGTTTTTAAAACTTGAATTTATAAAAATCCAGAATCCCCAAATTTCAATTCCAATGTATTTTGCTTTTCACAGTTTAAGTGTTTATACTACTTAGAAATATTTACTTTTATGTGTACAGTTGCTTTTGCTGGAATGGATGCCTGAGCATTATGTGCATGCAGTACCTGCTGAGGCCATAAGAGGGCTTTTGATCCTCCTGAAACTGGAGTTCCAGATGGTTGGTTGTCAGACACCACCATGTGGGTGCTGGGAACTGAACCTGGGTCTTCTGCAAGAGCAACGAGTGCTCTTAACCCTGAGCCATCTCTCTCTGCCTTTGCACTGCTTTTTAATTATTTTAAAAATAATAATCTTTTACTTAAACTTCTGCTGATCATGAAGAGTGGCTGCTTGTTCAAAGAACTCTTTCAAAAATCAGTCCTATGTGGCAGGTGTCTCAGAGAAGTAGCTGGAGATGGCCTTTCTGGTAGGACTTGCTGTCTGGTCTCAGCAAGTCCTGGAGAACCAATGAAGTGCAAGCACTGTCCTATGCTCTGGGGACATAGGTGTGACCAAGGCAAAGGGCTCTCATGCGGCTTATGCTTTAAAGGATGAGGTTGGGGCTAGAGACATATTTGAAAGTTGCTGTACACAGATGGTATTTAAGATATAGAAGGGGATGCAGAGAAAGCCTTGGAGTACCAAAAGTGATTACAGGCTGGAAGGGCAAAGGAGACCCAGTGCCTGTGTGAGAGAAGCCTGCAGTGAGATGAGAGGGGAGTCAGAGAAAGTCCCCGTCTGGAAACTAGTGGAGACAATTGTCAGCCGTCAGCCCCAGGTTCTGCAGAATTGGCCAGGGGAACTCTCATTCAAATGTTCTCTCCCTAAGTCAGCTATAGACGATCAGTTGATAGAGGGCTGTCAAAGCCCCATCCCTTTACCTTCATCCCAGGCGTCTCTGGGCCAGCTCAGGTTTAGGGCTTCCTGCTTGCTCCACAGGCTGGGGCCTCTGTTGAGACTGCACCAGCATTTCACCTTCTCTGTTCCATCATGGCTGGAGTCACGAGGCTACCCCCATAAACCTGCACTTAAATCTGTGTTTCCAGGGAATTCTACTTAAAACGAGAGTAGTTGCACATAGTAGATGTTCAATAAACAATTTTTGAACGTGTCTGCGCTGCTGTCTCTTGCTGTCTGTCAAGCTTTCCACACACTCTCCATCCAGAGCTCTTCGAGGCCTTGTATACAGCAGACATCCAATAAATGCCCTGGTGGTAGGTGTTGGAGAGAGGGGAAGAGATAGTGCTGGAGGCACACAGAAAACTTGTGTGTGCGCGGGGTTTCCCAGCTCCTCACCGCTAAAGCTGGAACGTAGATGCTAGCGGGTAGAATGTGCGGCTGGAGTGTTCAAAGCCTCCACCCACCTCCCTAGACTAATGCAGACAGTGGCGGGCGGGGCGGTCACTGATCCATCCGCTCTCAGAAGGGTTACTTTTTTTAAACGCCAAAATGGCGGAATTCCTTAGGTTCTCCCCCCCCCCCCCCCGCTTTATAGTCAATTTTTTTTTTTAAATTCCATTTTGTTGAAAATAATGAAAATCAATGACAGCGGAAAGTTTGCCAAATGGCCTATGGAAACCTCAAACTCGCCCTCCACACCCTCTCATTAATGGAAACTCTTAACTGATTGCATCTCTTCGCAAAGCCGGGCTTTTGCCCTCCCCCGGCTCTGGATGCAGATAGCAGTGCCAGTGGGCTCGCTCGCTCGCCCGGCATCCCGCAGCGCCCACAAGCATAGCCCAGCCCCGGTTCTGCAGAGCCACCTCCCCAGTCCGCAGTCGGTGCGGCAGGAGCTGGGAAAGGACCTGGGGCGGGGCCCGCAGGACACTAGCACTTGCCATGCCGGCCGGGACTGGGGTGTGACGTCCCCGGAGCACCCAGCCCGAGCCCAGCGACCCGTGCTTACCTGTAAGGCTAGCGGGCGCAGCCCGCGCCAAGTGACCGTGGGAGCCCGGTGCGGCGCGCGCCTGCGCACACAGGGGGCGGGCCCGTTCCCTGCAGAGCGCGGCGCAGAGCTCCTTAGCTGCTGGGTCTGAGCGGCAACGGACCCATGTTGCCGCTTCTGCTTTCGGTCAGAGTCCTGGGGTTGCAGGATTAATTGTCTCTTCCCCCACGGAACCCGCTAGCTTCTCGGGAGAAATGGGTGGAGATTCTTACAGTATTCTGGGAATCACAGAGCCAAGAGCGGTAGCCAGCCTGAGTAGTCTACACCAGGCAAGGTGCACCTCTGTATACACCCGGGTCCCACATTTGGAGAAGGGGACTTCAAGAATTTCAGGAAACTCTTAGGATGGGTGATGAGCACGCACAGCCAGAGCAAGGAAACCTGGCACCACGCGGGGTCTGGCCTGGCATGAAGGATTCCAGTCGTTCCAGCCTTTGGGTGACCCACTGACGCTGGCTGATGTTGTGACCTGGAAACATCCTGTACCTCCTCCTGCACTTCCATTCAGCATTGGAAGACTATCATGTCATGTTGTAGAGTTTGACAATGTTTCCCCTTGTGTTGATCTGAGCAGGTTAATGTCTCCTTTTGTGCCTTCCATTTCCTTAACTCATCTGTCTCTACCAGACCTCTACTTTTATTGGTTCTTATTCTGGCATCGCGGCTGATAGATCACAGAGACTTGAGTAATTCAAGAGTTTAGGAGACCCTGTGCTCTAGAATGAACCAGTTCCTAGTAGAGTGGATACTAATTAATGTCTTCTGATGTCTCTTCAGAGCCTCACTTCCCTTACACACTGAGTCTTAATTTTACCCCCTTATTTCACAGAAAAGGAAACAGGTCTACTTGGCTCTTAGGTGGTAGCCATCAGCCAAATCTTTAAATTCCTACAACTGGTCCAGATGAAAAATAGTTCTTACTTAAATGGTAAAGTCTCCCAATTGCTGTGACCAACATTTAAATTTATGCAGATTTTAGGTATTCTTTACATGTGTTCTGTCTGGCCTCCACGGTTTTAATCACATTTTGTGTTCTCAGGGACAAGATTAGTCAGAAAAAGGACAGAGACTGCCAGAATCCTAGAAGTCTCTTTATACACACAGCAATCACTCTTTTCGTTCATCTCTATGCAGACTCTGCTTATTTAAGATTCCAAAATGGTTAAGTCTTAAAGTGGCAAACCTATTAGAACACATGGTTTCTCAATTACAAATCCATCTTTTAGTGATTCAAACAGATGCTCAGAATCTGAGCAGGTGGAACTCAGAAAGAACTAATCTAGACTTCAGTTGCTATTTCCTGCCCACTTAGGTACTCATCAGTCTTAATACCTATTGTTTATTCTAACACCTTCAGGGATGGAGAGCCCCCTCCAAGCTGATGTGATGTGGACAGCTCTGTCCCTATGGTCTGTACCCTGCTGGCCCCAGCTTGCTTTCAGGAGAGTGAACACATTCAATGAATGCTTCCTTCACATCCCACCCCTTCCCGGGAGTGGGTCCAGATGGTGCTGGTGTAAGGAAGGATGGAGGGGACTCTTGTTTGGAAGCAGCCATACTTCTTGTTTCATTAGCAGTTGAAGTCACTCTTTGCAGTAGTCCAAGGATCTCAGAATAGCAGGGTTTTGCCCTTTACATGTCAAACATTTCTGCTTCCAAAGACACATCAGACTGTGCAAATTAGGAACCCTTCTGATACCTAAAAAGGCCACATAAAAATATCACAAGGGGGCTTGGAGAGGTGGCTCAGTGGTTTAGAATACTTGTTGCTTTAGAGTACACATTTGACAGGTTTGATACATGGCTCATAACCATCTATAACTCCAGTTCCAGAGGATCTGGTGCTGACATTGGTGGGCACCAAGAATGTAAACGGTGCACATGCATACACACATACTACATACAGGCATGCAAACAAAATATTCATACACACAAGTTAAAAAATATTACAAGCAGCAACTAAACAGAAGGATGGGAAGTAAATTCACTGAACTTGTAAGGGGAAATAGTCAGGAGCAGCACACAGGGACAGAGCAACTCTGCCCTGGTATCTCTCTTGTTGTGGAGGTAATTTTAAGGTAAGGCAAGGCCCAAGAGTCTTGGGTATTAAACCCTCGTGGTATTGTGGATTTGGAATCAAAATTTTCTGTCTAATGACCACTCACTTTAGAATAGGGGCTCCTTCAAAATTGTCCTTTGCTTTCCTCATGAGAGGAAAATAGTCATTACCTACTGACTTCATTTTTTTCCCCTCTGGATTGTTCTAAGTAATTTCTCCTCAGCTCATCTTGACTTCCAGAAACAGCCCTGCAGGCTGGTAATCTTATGTCAGAACTTTATCTGCCCACTCAGTGATTTCCCAGGTGACAGCAGTAACTCTACAAAACTAGCCCTGTATGACTGAGGCTGCTTGACTATGTGTATTTCTTGCCTTGAGTTCTGTCCTTCCTTCCCTGTTAGTATCTTGAAGGGTCCTAGGACACTGGTTCCATTCTTTCCAGGATGGCCATACTAAATTCTTTACTGGGGACAGAACCTAAGGATCCATGCATGCCAGACCAAACAATTAACCCTGCCCCCCCCCCACCGAAGAAACAAAACCAAAACCAAAACCAAAGTCTACATCCCCAAATCCTTTTAGAAAAAAAAAAAAAAAGTCATATTGAGACAGTCTCACTAATGTAAGTCTGCATCAGCTTCCCAAGTAGCTGAGATTATGAGTAACAGGCCTGATTTAGCCACTAGGACTCTTAAGGTGGCAGATCACCAAATATGGCCTTTGGGGAACAAGAACCAACCTCTGGCAACTACCCCCAAAGGCCATTTGGGATGGGGCTCACACAGTGTTTTTGTTTTGGATGCTTAGTGAGACAAATCATCAAAGGAGGATCGAACCCCTAGGCTATACCACACACACTGGAGTTAAGTTCATTCCACTCTTGAACGAGTATTGTATGTACACGATGTGTGAGTACAGGTAGACATGTGCTATGGCTCATGTTCAGAAATCAGAGTATAACTTTTGGGGATCAGTTCTTTTCTTCCAACATGGGTTTCAAGGATCAACTCTTGATGCCAAGTCTGTGTGGCAAAGCTTTTACCTGGTGAGTCATCTCCCTGGGTTTACCCTCTTGACAGTCATATACTGAAGCCAGAAAGGCAAGTGATACACTTGTATGTACACTTAAATGTACTATTCCAAAGAGATAAAGCATGAGTAATGGAACCTGCCCATTTAACAAGCAGTAGGCCTGTTAAGTAGGAGAACCATATTCCCACTGACTTGAGATACCTGTACAAATTTGAAGAATATCAGGGCACAAAGGCATATTCATGTAGTCCTAGTGACTGAGGCAAGATTTCTTAAGCCCAGTCCTAGGCTTGCCTGGGCAACATAACAAGGTACCAGACTATTAACAGGTTATCCTCAGATTTCCATTTCTAAGTGTGTTCTGCCTGCATATTATGTCTGTTTCTTGTGTGTGCCTGGATCCCCTGGGATAGGAGTTACCATGTAGTGCTAGAACTTGAACCTGGGTCCTCTGGGAAGGCAGCTAGTGCTTTTAACCACTGAGTCATCTCTATCCCTTAGATTGTTTTTTTTGTAACTATTAAGTCAGAGGGGCATTCCCTATCCTGCTGAGACTGGTTTGTTTTAGAAATTTTGCTTTCACCTGATTTCTTGGAAAGTCAGCCAAATAGTTTAATTTGGGTTGATAACAGAACTTTTTACCAGGAATAACTCCTCCACTTTGGTCTATTGTGATGTTTACATATTCTTTTGTGTGTGCACACAAATGCTTACATGTCTAGAAGACAACTTGTAGTTCTTTGTCCATGGGGGTCCCAAGGACTGAACTCAGGTTGTGTCAGGCTTGGTGAAAGATGCTTTTACCTATTGAGCTATCACTTGTACCCATTTTGATCTATTCTTTTAGGGTCTACTGCTGGAACTCAATCCATAATGGCCTGTAAGCTTTCACATAGGAAGGGAAGCTCACAATTTTGGTTTGAGCCCACCCTCAGATTACAGAAGCTGCATTGCCTCATTTGAACCCACAGGCTGTGGAAGACTGAGTCTATGTGCCTTTCTTAGTGCAGGATCCCTGAAAGAACACAGGACCAACGAAACAAAGTGAAGGGACAGCTGTGATTCAGTATGAGGCCCTTTATAAGCTTAGGTCCTTTAAAATTGTAACACAAAGATTCCAGATACTCTGGGTAGGTAATCCAGCTGAGCACACTCAAGTAGACACAGGACAACGTGACAGTACAGCTTAAGTCCATCCAGCCCTGTAAACTCAAGCCCCAATGCTAAAAGCCCCCACCATGCTTGTTACTTGGTATGAGGTCATAAGCACTCAGAGCTCATTTGCCTTTCCAATGGCAAGTGGCAAGCACCTGGCACAAAACAGGTGTTAAAGAAAAATAATTTTTGATTTTCATCTTGCCCAGGAAAGGTCACAGTTGACACCAATAAGATATACCACTGACAGGGAAGAATGGACTACAACTTTCCTTCTTCCTCCCCATGTCTACCTGCACCTAGCTGGCTAGTCCAAATGAAGGGATGGCCTAATTACATTAAGGCCTAATTTAAGAACTCTGGGATTTTTTTTTTTTTTAAACACTTGTTGAGACAACTGATTAGCTGATGCCATCTCCAACTCCCTGAGCTGGGCATTGTATCCACTTAAGCCTTAGGCAAGGGTTTCAACACTCAGCTATACTGTTTGCTTGGTCTTGCCTTTAAAGAGTTTAAGTACAGTAGTCATCAAATGGTAACTTAGGGTAGAGGAAAGGAAATATGTACTACTTCTGAGGGAATCCTCTAGTTCCTTTCAGAATACCACTGAGGCCAAGAGATGGCAGTGGCTAAAATCACTTACTCCCAATTCTTGAGTTCAATTCCCAGGACCCATATATCAGAAGCGGACTCCTGAAAGCTATCTTCCAACACCCACATGTATAATAATTAAGAAGAAAGGAATTAAGAGTTAGGAATATAGCTATGGTAGAACACTGGCCTGGAGTGCATCAAGTCCCAGCAACTTCGCTACCTATCACTACAAAAATGCAACAAAACACTGGTCTGGAATGTGGTCAACACAGACCCAACAGATTGTTATTAAATAGTAGTTCCCTGAAAATCTGGATGTGCCTTAATTTTCTCAAGCTTTTTGCAGGCAGGCACTGAACCTAGGGCCTTGTATGTACTTTGTCAACACTGCAGCTGTTAATACTCCTGGCCTGTGACTCAACTATATAGAAACTATAGGCAGGTGCCACCCCACAATCAGCTCATTGGCAGGCTCTAGGTGGCAGGGCCAATGGAACTCATCGGAAGTGACTAGAGCATGTGGTGATGGTCTGTGATGGCAGAGTTGTGTTTTGGAGTGTAGGGTATGAAACACACATGGTAGCAAAGTGCTAACAAGTATACCCCAGGTCCATAACATTGTACTAAGGTAATCATGTTTTTAGAGGAACTCAGAATTGAGTAGTCACAATTACTATGGACTACAAACAATAAACTTGCCTTTTGTGCTTCTAGAATTAGGCACCATCTACTTTACAAACAGTATCTGATGACTGAGCAGTATTGGCTTCACAGGCAGAGGAGAGTTAAAGGAACAGAACAAGATGGGGTCCTTCAAGTGTTCTTTTTCTCATTAATGGCCAAAGTATAAGGGCTTCCTTTTCAGGCCAGTTGGCACTGGCCTGAAAGAGGCTCCACCCATTTTTACCTTTCTCATTTCTTGGGAGGCCAGATAATCAGCTCTGCTTTCTGTATGACTTCAAACTTCAGCATGAGTGATTCCACTCTGCTCTGCTGGGCCTGGTGTAGGCAGCTGAAACCAACATGCCTCTCAAAACTTCACATGAGAACCACTTGAGAGACTATTAGGATATTTAAGGCTGGATTCCATCCAGTATTTCTGGGTCAGGGTGCCCAGGGTGGGATCTGAGAACCCCCGCTTCAAACAGGTTTCCAGCTGGTAGACTAGACATTTTTGAAAACTGTCTAAAGCCTATCCATTTACAGCAAATATAAGAAACAGATACTTAACTAGATTAAATCAAAACCAAAATTGGGGAAATACATAAATATGACCCAGCTTCTTCAATCAATATTGAACAATAGAAAAACGGGTTTAGAAACCCAGCCTCCTTTTGGGACAGTTTTACCTACATGGCCCAGGTGGATCCTGATATTACGTGGGATACAGACCTTTGCTACCACATTTAGTAGGACTTAGGGAGATTTTAGATGCCCTCTAGAATTATGTACCCTATTATCATTATTAAAACCGTGGCTGTCCTAGAATTAGATTTGTAGACCAGGCTGGCCTTGAACTGAGATCTGCCTGCCTCTGCCACCCAAGAGCTAGGATTAAAGTCACTTGCCACCAGTGCCTGGCTCGTCCCATTATTATTGGTGTTTTAAATTCACTATAAAAGTAACAGCATGTGTCATGGCGCATGCCTTTAATTCCCAGCTCTCAGACTGAGGCAGCACTGTCATGTGAGTTTGAGGCCACCTAGGTCCGAGTGACTGTCTCAAAACATGAATACAATGCGTATTTAGTACACAAAAGCCATTCATGAATGAAAATGGACTTTGGTACATTTACCAATTCTACTTTGTATACTCTTAACCCCCACCAAAACCTCCTGGAAGACAACTGTATTAACCCACCCTTTAGCAAACTGGCATGTTTGTTGTAGTTAGGGTTTTATAAATATACTTCTTATTCAAGATATAGTCACTTACTGAAAATATTTAAGCTTGAAGTAGCCTTGTGAATTAAGTGTTGTAATTCATGTTACATGAACTAAAACTCAGTTATACTCATCATTTAAGGCAGAACTCTATCACTATGTATCGTGTAAAATCAAGTTACACATTACTCATGGTACGATCAAACTGTAAAAACAAAAGACAAACGTGTCAGGTGGCTCCTGTCTATTAATGCCAATACTCAAGAAACTGAGATAGGACTGCTGAGTTAGAGGCCAACCCTAAATGCTTAGTGTCAAGGGGAAAAAAAAAAAAAAGGACAAGAACATATACAAGTACATGTAACTGACACTGCCTGAAAATAAGTACAAAGCCATCCTTATAGTCTGAGACTGGCCTAAGATATAAAAAGATACTCTAAATAGTAGTAACTGGACTCAAAAAACTATACTCAAAGCCCTGATTATTCTTAGAAAAAACAAGAGGAAACCCCACACTAAGTTCCATTATCATGTTTCTGAGAGCAGAATAACCATAGGTGAAGTTTGAGAACAAAATTAAGAAACAGAAATGCAAAATTAAAGTTTTAACTTGCAAAGCCTAGAGTGCCCAGGATTAAGGACATATGTTAATGATTTGCAAGTTATTTAAAACTTCCTAATTTGAGAAGCTGTGTCACAAGATAAAAATGGACAAAAAATAAATACACAAAAATAAAGTAAGTTATTAGTAACACACGAGAAACCATCTGTTGCCAGTCCCCAAACCCTGCTTTGTAGAGCTAAAGCAATAAGCACCCATCAATGGCTAGCCAATGGTAAGTACAATAAAAAAAAAAAAACAAAAAAAAAAAAAAAACAAAAACAAACCAACAAAAAACAAAAACAAAAAACAAACCTACTGGCAATGCACTTGGTGCCATAGGGACAACACAATAAATTCAGAACAAGTATTTCCCTTGGTAAGCATTTTATTGAGATAAAGCATAAAATGTTAACAAAGTAGAAAAAAAAAGAATATCCAAGATGAAAGCAATGTTAACACAGGAGGAGTGGGAACATAAAGGCTGAAGTAGGCAGGACTCAAACTGGCCATAAAGGCACTGTGGCATATCAAGAAACGCTATCATGTCCAACAGGACTCAAGATGTTCCCCACTTCTCTTGTGCTCTTTATCAGTTGGTGCTGTTGATACTCCACCCAGGGCATCAACCAGTGTGTGCAAGATGGGAGTCTTAGATTTTGCGCATCAGTTGGCAGGGAACTGAATTTACTAGTCAGTAAAGAACTAAATATTTAAGTCAGTCAATTATGCTAAGGCCAACGCTTTCAATGCAGTGGTCTGTTTAGTGTATTTAATAACTAGGGTCTACAGGTATGAACCAAGCCTAGATCTCTAATAAAATGGCCTTTGCCTCCACAAGAAAAATTACACAGGTGTTGGCATTTACCTATACATTATACATATACTTATTGGGGTGGCTAAAATTGTCAAATGCCTGTCATGTACTACATTAACAAAAGGCAAGCCCAGCTGAGGATGTGTGCAGTCAGAAAGTCAAATTTCACTGATAGTCTTCCTCTTTAAAAGGCTGTGGCTCAGAAAGCTTTTTGTATATTTTTCCCTGAAAACAAAGAACTTTGGTCAAACCCAATTCTTAAAGAGCCAACACTTCTGTCTTTGAACAGGCAAAATAGTAAACTACAACCAGAAACAATTTTCTTTTAACTTCTGAAATTTACACTGGAAAAATAAACCTATTTCTTATAAACATCTAAACAAAGCATCAAAGAAAACAATTGACTAAAGCAGCAGCTTTATTTGACACTATATCCTGAAGTTAGTCTTTAAGATTTGTAACAGAAATAAATTTCTTGAAAACATTCTCCTTTCCCTGTTCCCAAGGTATTTCCAGCTACTGACATCTATCTAGGCCCTTGAATATCCATTTTTTCCACTCAGCCTCATTTTATTGCATGTTTTCTGATTATTTAGTCCCACACACCAACCCTACAACACTATGTTCTATTATAATCCAACCCTTGCTATGTTATGTAGCAACAGCTGAGGAAGGTTATTAAACCTGAGCCAATTCATCTACACCTTGACTAAAGACTGAGGTTAAGTATTTAGGATGAAATGACTTTAAAATGTCTGAACAATGAAAAGGTTGTAAGGTAAGCCTCAACAAACTGGGCTTTTGGATGCATGGAAACTGCGAATCCAGTTATTCCTACAAGTTTGCACTATTCATTTTAACTTTGTTTCCACAGCATTTATAATGCTTTACTTACAAAGTACAAAGCATTTTAGTTTAGCCATGTCACTGTTTTTTCAAGCCAACCACAAATACCCCACTAACACAATGGGGACTGATCGTTGGGAAGAATTTTAACCAGCAAGTATCTTACCCAATAGTCTACTAAGCACCTGTTAAAATATAATCATCCTTCAAGCAGAAAATGCAGCATGTGCTTTTCCACTTTGAATAAGATAACTAAATTTCTAATCAAAGAAAGGATATTTCTGTTTCTCAAACATTAACGACCACCAAACCATATACTAACACTATTCACGCTGACCACTTCCAGAACACAGGATAACAAGATCCCAAGTACTAGGACCTACTTCTTGAAGAGTTCAAATTGTAATTCTTTAGTTTCATTCATTTAAAAACCTATTAATTAGACAAAAATCTTGTGACACTAACTACAAAGTCCCTTTTACTTTTAACTCAACTTGTTAAAGGGGCAGATAAAAGACTTTGGTAGATTTGATTAACAGCACAAAATAAGGTTATTCAAACTGATTAATTTATTGCTGCTGGTCTGAGGCTTGCCTTGTCTCCATAAATGGCAGGTATCAACACTTATAGGGCCCTAGTAGTGACCTATTCAATAAGGCAATCATCTTGGTAGCAAACTTTTATTTAAATCTTACATAACTCGAGCTTTATAAAAAGCTAACATAATTGAAAATTTTGGTTCTCCCTCTAAAGCCTGCAGTATCCAAAGCTTTGAAACAGTTAATTTAAAAATAAGCAAACAAAACAACAGAACCCTGCAGCAGATTCTGCTGCAATATTAAAAAAAAAAAAAAATCTAAATGAGCTTAATCTTTACAAAAGTTATTTTAGGCTCAAAGGCTATAAAATCAAAATTATCTTAATTCTACAAAGAAGGGAGAGGGCTTCATACCACCATTTTAGAACCTCATCTTTTTCTCATTAAATTTGGCCACAAATTAAATTCCTGTGTTCCCTTTTCAGGAAATCCCCTTGAAGAAGAGGCCAAGTACAAACTTGGAAGAGTAACTGCCTAAGCAAGTAGGAAAGTGTTCCATTATAGTGTGCAAAGAACATAGAGTTCAGGGTTAATCTCTGGAACTTGATCTGGACCTTGAACGAGATCTAGAACGGGACCTGGAAGCTCTTTTTGGCGGAGGGGACACAGAACGAGCCTTTGAAGGTGGAGCAGGCAGGGGTGAATGGGATCGAGACTGGCTCCGGGATCTGGATTTTGACTTTATATCTCCTTTTCCATTTTCTTTGGGGGACCGAGAACGTGACCTACTTCGGGACTTCCCATACTCATCCTTAGATCTGCTTCTTGAGTGTGAATGGGAACCCCGATCAGACTTAGGCTTAGATTTGCTCTTTGATCTGGATTTCCTGCCTTTTGAGCGGGATCGGGATCGACCTTTGCTCCGCGACCTAGATCTGTGTAAGAAAAGCCAGATTTCTTTCAGTATCTTGTCAGAAAACACAGGTACTCCACCAACAGGCAAAATTAAGAAAGACCCAAACCACATTATTTACCGGGAGCGACTTTTTGAGATACTTCGAGATCTACTGCGGCTGCTCCTGCGACTCCTACTCCGTGACCTTCTTCTAGACCGTGATCTACATACAAGAGACAGTGATGTTTTAATATCTATAAAGAATGTGTTTGTACTACTCAGCTACGGCCGAAGTATCTGCTTACTACAACCAAGAAATTCCGTAAGTTCAACTAAGCAACAAATGAAAACTACATGCGGCCCCAGTCCCCCGTGTTACCTGGATCTACTTCCAGAATAAGAACGCCTATGGCTCGTTCGTGGTTTATCTTCAATAAGCCTAATATTTCTGCCATTTATTTCTGTGCCGTCCAGTTTATCCAAAGCACGCTTCATGTCAGAATAGGATCTAAATTCAATTACACCCTCATTTGTGCGTTCTTTATGAGCATCTGCATAAGTCACTTCTCCTGCTTGCCGCATGAAATCCTAAAACAATAAGACTGATAAGGCCCAGAAACCTAGAGCATGTCTATGCAGGACCAACTCTTACAGAAATGACCACCCACTCTCTTTTAAGACCCAGGTACATACCTTTAAGTCTTGCCAACTGCACCGACTAGACAGATTTTCTACAATAAGTCTGTATTCTGTGCGAACAGGTGGTCCATATTTGTCTCTGCCAGAAGTTCTCCGACTGCTGTAGCCACCTCCACCACCTTTATCACATGGAAGGAGTAATTAGATGCATTGCAATGACAGGGATGCATGTTTTTGAAAGTTAGTACAAACATAGCAACGTTTATTACTGGAGTAGGACTTTGCTATTATACTGCTAAACCCTCGATACATTTGTGATTTGCCACAAATTAAATTAAGGGCAAGTCAAATAGACTAAATCCAACTAACCCTCTCCTACAATCTGTTAGAGAGTGACTGCTCCTTTAGTCAATTTACCTCGCTAAGTTTTATTTTACAGAACATTGTAAAATATAAAACTTAACTGATTACATGCATTTCTACATTTTACAAAAATGTTTACTAGTTACACTAAGTACTTACATCACAGTGTGAGGTTTTTGGTGGTGGTTTGGCCACAAAACACGCAAGGTAACAGTCACCTAGTTCAGATTAACCAGTTTTGTCTAACCCTTGGAATCCTCACCATCACCCTGCGTCTAATGGCAAAAGGCTGCTGTCGTCATGGCTTCCGGTAAGGTCAGCCAAAGGGTCATAGGGCAAGGGTCACACAATGTATGGAAAAGCCAAGGCCAATCAGGAAAGGCAGTCATCTTAGCCTCAGTGGACACAGCCTCAGCCCCATTGGTCACTTTTAAATTGAAACATCAAGGACTTGTTAAAAAGTTTGAATTCAACATGCAACAATTTCAACATTAAACATTTCACATAACCAAAACCCCCCAACACCCTCCCGGTAACATGCCCCAACTAGTTCAAATACAGCATAAAGCTCATTTAGATTTACTTTGTGGCGTTCTACCACATTACTTAAGTTTTAAATGGCATTCTCTTTGGCCCTCGCCAAGTCTCCCATCTCCTAAGACTCATGCTCCAAGCTCCTCCCCTTTCCCCGCCCCCTGCCCCACCTCCACCCCGGCCTTCCTCGAAACTTCCTCAACGCTAGCTAAAGCACTGACAGATAAGCAAGGGGGAATAGTGCAACTACAGGCAACCCTCGCTTTCAAAGCGGGCAGAACGCAAGTCAGTGCCAACGAGGGCCAACTGAAGCCACCCCGCCCAAACTTTAGCCACCCGGCCACCAGACCCAATCCCCGCGCTCCGGTGTCCTATGGCTACCCGAGCATGCGTGGAAGGGGAGAGGGGCCCGGGAACACCCAGGGCCAACGACCCCCGGCCTCCGCGCCTGCCCGGGTTGGGGAGGTTTCCACCCTGTCCCCCCCCCCAGTGGCTGCACCCGCCGCCCCCTCCCGGTACCCAGGACGCGGAGCGCGCGGGGGGGTAGGACTCACTGCGGCTTCCGTAGCTGTAGCCATCGCGGTCGCGGCGCGGGCCCCGGGCGTGCTCCACGATCACGCGCTCGCCGCACAGCTCCTTGCTGTTTAACTCGTAAACGGCGTCGTCGGCGTCGCGGGAGTCCTCGAACTCCACGAAACCGTACCTGAGGAGGGGCGGAGCGCGGGCCGCGCACCGGCGGGCGTGTCGTTAGCCGGCGCTGCGCGCTCCCGCGACCTCCCCCGCGCGCGCTCGAGGCGCCGCCGCCATTTTGGAGGCCCTGCCACGCGGCGCCGCGGCCTTGGTCGACTCGGCCCTTGGGGGCTCCCTCCGCCACGGGGCGCGGACCCCCCAGACCCGACTCACCCATTTTTGAGGTCGATTTCCAGGAGGCGGCCGTAGCCGCTGAAAAAGCGCTGGATGTCCTTCTCGCGGACGTTGTAGCTCAGGCGTCCTATGTAGACGCGCGGCATGGCCGTGGCGGGTGGGTTCCCGGAGGCTAGCTGAGCTGCGGCGGGCCGCGGGGGCCGGACTGCGGTGCGGGTGCGGGTGCGGGTGCGGGGACGGCGAGGGCCCGAACACGCGCCTCACACCGCAGCTGCGGCCGAGTCAGCCACACAATGGTGCGCGCGCGCGCTGGCCTACGCTATAAGCGTCCGGGGGCGGGGCGCGGCGCGTGACGTCGGCGCGCAGCACGTCCTCTCCCGCGCCGCGGTCGGCTCCGGAGAGTGTGGCGCTGCTGCGGCGCGCGCGGGGCTCGGTGCGAGCCGGCCTCGCTGCCGTAATGTTTGTCCCCTGGCGCTCGGCACCCATCTCCGCGCACAGCCGCCACCGGGTCCTTTGACTGGTGCCTGTTAGTGAACTGTTCTCGTGCCCAAGCACGCGGAGAACGGTGCCTGCTTCTCACTGGTTCTCAGGGCTGTCAGTCTAGGCCATTTTAGTCTCTGATTGGCCTGCCGAGGAAAAGGGGTTGCGCCGTCCCTTCAGCGGTTGGCTCGCTCTGGTTTCGGTGGGAACGTGCTCTCGGACTCGGGCAGTTCCTTAGTTTCTCGGCCGCCCGATCTCTGCCTGCCCCGGAGGTCGTAGTAACCCGCAGGGAAGGTGCCGTGGCGGGTCTCGGTGACGTCCTTCACGCTGCTCCGAACGTTGACAGCTCTGAGTCCCGCGCTCACCGCGGCTGCGCTGCTCACAAAAGGAGCGTGGCGGGGCCCCGCACACCAACAGGCAGGCGGGTGACCCGGGGGTTGAGTCAGGACCCCCCTCTACCTCCAGGACACCGAGCCCCTTTCCTACCCATTCTTACCTGGTTGACTCGGAAGTCACGGTATTTGTGTGGCAGAAATAGGCACTTAGCAGTTTGTAGAGGCGACATCTAACGCCGTAGAGCTAGATAAGCGAAACACCACCCCCTTCCGGAGTAAATTAACTATCGAGTGCCTCGGGGGTACTCAGAAATTTACTTAAGAACCGCAAAGGAGTGGTTGGAGAGGCATATGGTGTGATGGACGCTGGCAGAACAGGATGTCAGTGCGCTTTAGGAATTTGTTTTCTGCTCTGAAAACAGGTCAGCCCCAGTCTTTTTCAGCTAAGGTGGGAGGAGCGATTCCTTCCTTTAGGAGCAGACAGGCAATGTTGAACGTAGCGAGTTAATTTTAGTATCTAGTGGGGAGAAGTCGTCCTTAAAGATGTATGTATGTATGTATGTATGTATGTATGTATGTATGTATATATGTATGTATGTAGACAGCCTTTAAAAATATTCATGGGATGTAGTTAGATTGAATTCAACAAATAACATTTTTCTCTTTATCAAATTGTCAGTTTTTTTTTTTTCATCATCATCATCATCTTTGTTTTGGTTTTTCGAGACAGGATTTCTCTGTATTGCCTGTACTGGAACTAGCTCTGAGATCAGGCTGGCCTCGAACCCATAGAGATCTGCCTGCCTTTGCCTCCCCAAGCGCTGGGATTGAAGGTGTACACCACCAGCGCCCAGCCAACTTGTTAATTTCTAAAACTGTGTTAAAACTTATTTATGGGTTGGAGAGATGACTGTAGCAGGTAAAAGACCTAGAGACCCATACCGGCAGGAGGTCATGTTCTCAATAAATAAATAACAACGTGATAGCACATTTAAATTCACTATTGGTAACAGCAAGTATATATATATACATATACATGTATATGTAAATTATATACATGTAAACATATACACATATATTTGGATTTCACATGAGGAAAAAAGTATCAATTCATTGTATTATCATATTTTGTTCCCCTCTTCTACCTTTGCTTCCTTCACATAGTGCCCTTTCTTTTTTTTCTTTTTCATGGCTTTTTGGAGGCTGTCTGGGAACTAGCTCTAGGGATTAGGATGTGGAAATCTATGGAGGGAACATTTTACTTAACACAGGAACTCTGAAATTGAGTCAAATTCAGGAAAAACAATTACGGGATTGTGGCTAAGGAGGTAGAAGAAGAACACAACTATGAAGGATGAGTATCTCGGTGGTAAGAATGGGAAGGATTTCAAGGAACTAGTTGTCTCTAAGTTCATAAGCCTTTGACTCAGCAACCTCACACCTAGAAATCTGTGTCAACTGAAGTATAGTGATACTCTGGAATATTATGTGAACTATTTTCAGCATTGAGGAATCAACTATGTATATGTCCATGCAGACGAGAGCCTTAATCCCAACTGGCTCTCTACTTGTTTTGTAAATAAAGTTTTATTGGCATGTAATATACATTCATTCACTTACATAGGGTCTATGGCTTCTCTTGTGAAAGTATTGCATATTGTGTTGAGTAGTTGTTACAAAGAGTAGTCTGAAACACTTAAAAATTTGTTTAATTAAATGAATCAATTTTGGGGTCAGAGTGTCACTATGTAGCCCTGGCTGGTCTGGAACTTGCTGTGTAGACCAGGCAAGTTTCAAACTCACAGAGATTCACCAGCCTCTGCTTCCTAGTTGCTGGGAATAAAGGTGTGTACACCACCAAGTCCCACTTTATTATTATTATTTTTTTAAAGATTTCACTCTGTGTGTGTGTGTGTGTGTGTGTGTGTGTGTGTGTGTGTGTGTGTGTGTGTGTGTGTGTGTGTAGATGCCCATGGAGGACAGAAGAGGGCACCACAGGCAGTTATGAAGTCTACTGTGGGTGTTGGAAACCAAACTCAGGTCCTCTGGAAGAGGAGTAAACCCTCCTAACCACAAGCCAGCTCCCTTGAGCATGCTAGGAGAGTGTACTGCACTAAGTTAGCTACTCTTCCAGCATGAAAACATCACACAGTATCACTAACTCCTCATAGGGGAGTGCCCAGCCTGAGTATGCTACTGACTTTGATTCCTGTATTTTTAGTAACAAAATAATGGTTTTAATATATACATAGTAGCATTCTTGTCATTGTAGACCAGTTAAAATTCTGAAAACTCAAACCCTTTTTATTACCATTTTTGTATGGGTGTTAGGTTTCTCACCTCCTTCCCGTGTGTGTGTGTGTGTGTGTGTGTGTGTGTGTGTGTGTGTGTGTGTGTCCCACAGGGCTTTGAGCATGCTAGACAAGCACTCTACTTTGGCCCTTGACTATTTTTTTTAATAGCAGTTGGGTAGGTTCTATATACAGCCATGCTCCATCAAGTCTCACAGACTTCCCTACCCTTATTCCACCAGTTTCTCTCTTGAATGTGTCAAACATACACCCACCACAGTCCCTTTTCATTGGACAGCTCTTTGTTTCTAGAACATTCTTTATTATGGCTTGCTTCCTGGCTTTCTTCTGCTTTCTGCTCAAAGTTACCAAAGAAGCCTCTTCTACCCATGCACCCCCTCTGCACGCTGCATCCTCTTCCAACCACTCCCCCTGTACTCCACATTCTCTTCTCTGTTTTCTTTTTCCTTGCATAGCTATTCATCCCTTGTCACATTTGCAGCAGCTTCACCAGTGCAATGATGTTGTCCTGTTTCTTTTCTCTACACCCTGTGGGGTCTCAAGCAAGTGCGATGCCATTCTGGGCTTATTCAGAACCCAGGGCATGGAAATCTGCAGGAGGGTTTCACACATCCATGGATTCCTTGTGTTATGCAGGTGGGAGGAGATTTTCCAACTTCTGTTTGTGATCACCTGTTAGTGCTGTTAGGAAGCCCAGGACAGAGGGACAAGGATCTGCAGGAATGCCCTCTTTCCTCCCTTTTCCCTTCCACCAAAACCCATCTGAACAGAAAATTCAGGTTTGGCAAGGAAGCCATGGAGCAGTCAGACATCATTTCTGGGCCTGTACATATTTTACAGTCACTATGGAAAAAGTGCCCCTAATGTCCTCTGGTACTAATCTGGAAGTGTACACTCCACGACTGAGCCTTTCCACACCCTACAGAAATTCACAAGCTTGCAAGGGAAAGTACTGGAAATAAAAAACCGCCTTATGGGCAAACCCCTTGTGATGGCTACTCTTGGTTATCAACTTGCTATAACTGGAATGAACAATAATCCAGAAATGGAGGGCACACTTGATTCGGATCTTGAGGCAAGAAGACAACACACCTTCCCTCCAGACCTCAAGGCTGTAAGGCTCACACTTAATCTGGGCCACATCTGCTGGAAGTGTATATAAGGACGATAGAAGAAGGAAGGGTTTGTTATGCTTGCCCTCACTTCATCAACATATCCTTTCCTTCTTTGGGATCCCAGCAGACCAGCTGAGACACCCAACCTTGTGGGACTGAACAGCTGCTAGATTCTTGGACTTTCCGTTCATAACTACCCATTGTTGGACTGTAGCCTATAAGTTGTTCCAATAAATTTCTATATATGTATAAATATATAAGAAATTATTGGATATACATACATACATACATATATCCATCCATTCTGTAAGTTCAGTGACTCTAGAGAACCCTGACTAATTTACCCCTCAAGCTGGAAAACATGCAGATGCCACCGCAGGTAGAATCTCGGAGGATTGAACTGCAGGCACCACCACACAACAGGGAGGCTGAGCCACAGTGATGCAGATCTTACAGAGAGAAACAGTGCCACTGCTTGCCCCCCCCCCCATACCCCATCCCCAACCTGCAAGACTGATTAAGGGTGCTGCTGTTGGGGAAGCACGTTCCTTTCATGGGGGGTGTTGAGAAGAGGCCTGCAGGCTTCCAGGGGTCCTGGCCCTGGCTGAATGAGCTAGGTGCTGATTACACCTTACCTGAGTTCTGCTCAAAGGCATCTGTTACTTGTTACTTATGAGCTAAGTATTTTGTGTGCTGTGTTTTAGTGGGAAAGTTAAAAAACTGCGTTCTCAAGAAAAATCGCAGTCTGGGTGTCATGGCTCCCGCCTATGATCACAGTCCTTGGGAGGCTGAGTCAGGGTCACCAGGAGTTTGGGACCAGCTTGGACTTCACAGTAAGTTTCAGGCAGCTTGGACAGAGTAAGACTGAAAGAAAGAAAGTCCCCCAAACAAACTAAAAAACAAACCAACTAAACAAAACAACAACAACAAATCCAATTGCTTGTAATGGAGTCCTTATTTAGGACCTTTGTTTATAGTGTCTGATCACTATTGTCAATTTATCTGAATCAATCATTTGTATTCCAGTTAGAAGCAAAGACTGGCTCTGAAAATGTGCC